TAAACAGCATGTTTCTCCCGCCTGGTGGAGATACCCACCCCTGTCTGCCACCCGACCCAGCTCGTCACCCAGCATTGTGGATAAGCAAGGCAAAGATGCACAGTCTTTGAAGAGGTTGCATTCTGACTATTCAGTTATCATTGAAGCTGAGAGAAGGTGGTTTCCATGTTTGGTTGGGTTTATACAGGACTGTGAAAATCTAACAGTGAAAATCTAACACTAACAGAGTGCTGTGGGCTTCGCATGTGGCTGTCCTAGGGTTCTGCTAAACTTTCTGTGGATTGTGTCGTTCAATCCCATGAGTGAAGGTAGGTGGCTGATAGATCAGTCTCCTTCAATAGATGGGGAAACTGAGGCACAGGGCCAGCGAGAAGCTGGGCGGTTCCTGACCATGCCCGGAATCCCAGTGCTGGCCCTTGGGCCGGGGTCAGGCGGTATCATGCAGCTGCTGGCAAGAAAGAACCTTCCTCACAACCTTTCCTGCTTGCCTGGTGATTGGCTGACATTTCTCAGTTTTAAGAACAGGAGGGAAAGTTGTAAAATCAGAAGAGGCATCCTGCTGTCCCTAACAGCCCCCAAGAGGGGCAGGATCAAGGGAGCCAAAGCCATAGCGATTGGAACCCATAACTGATTCTGGGGGGAGGGAGCCCTGGAGAGAAAGGAGAGGCGGGGTCAGAAGTCTGAGCTCAGGAATGCCTGATGCATAACCTTCGGTGAAAATCGGGGTGTGTGGCTGAAGTCAACGCAGCAGCAGTTACTGCCAAGTACATGGATAAGTGAAAATGCCGTGGGTGCTCACCGGTGGTGGAGGGCTGGAGGGGCTTGTATATGGCCCCGGGGTCTGTCTGGGACTTTTTAGTCTAAAAACGCCAGCAAGCAAGCACTGCACATGTACGTGTGGGAGTGGTGGTGGAGTTTTAGCCAGTCTGAGGAGCAACCACCAAAACTTGCCTCAGCGGCAGGGAGTAATTCTGGTTTCCTGCTTGGGTCAGGTTTCTTTACGGCTAGTCATTCATTCAACAAACCGTTGAATATTGGTTTTACTTAATATTCTTAGTAACATCAAAATCAAGAAGGAAAGTTCCAGTTTCACAAACATTTCTTCATCGCCTAACCCCGTATGTAATTCAAAAGAAGTCACAATAGTTAATAGACGTATTTCTGATTTATCTACCACATGGGAGTGCTTAGCTGACCGCTTCTTCCTCTTCAGTGAGATGGGAAGTCAGTGTCGGTTACGTGTATACACAGCCATGGACGCTTATCTTTTATTAGTTAGCCTGGAGCCAGTCAGGGCAAGAGACAGCTCTGAAGGAAATGGCTGGCTCCTTCAGTATTTTCCATCCTATTTCTGGAGTGGAGTAACTGGGGGAGGTTTGGAGGATCATTACCAGAGGTACTAGGGAGTCAGGAAAGTCCACAGACTCTAAGTTGTCACAGACCCTAAGTTGTCACAGACCTGACCCCATTTGGAGGTATCCAGTACAGTGGTTTTGAGTATATTTACAGAGACATGCTCCCATCACCGCAATGCATTTTAGAATATTTTCACTACCCCACCAAAACCCCTTGCTATTTAGTCGTCACCCCTCAATTTCCCCATCACGTCCCAAGCCCTAGGGAATGATTGACTTATATTGTCTCTCTAAAGCTCTCTAGTCTGCACATTTTACAGAAAGAGAATCAATCATACATCTAGGGGCTTTTGTGTCTGGTGCCTTGAACTTGGCATGTTGCCTTCAAGGTACATCTGTGTTGTAGCATGCCTCAGCATATCGTTCCTTTTCACAACTGTGTAATATTCCACACAGAAATTCCCACCATCTTTTGTTTATCCTTTAGACAGTTGCTAGTCATATGTGCTGTTCTCTGTGTTCTTTTGAACACATCAAGGCCCAGCTCTCTATCTGAAATGCCTTTTAATTCTTAACTTATTTGTTGATGAGTGACTTTTTTTTTTAAAGATTTACTTATTTGTACATACAGAACTGGGTTACAGGCCAGAGGCTCAGGGGTGGTGAGAGACTTCACCATAGAGTAGGGAGCAGAACAGGCAGATCAACGAAATACACTGCTGAGGGGAGCAGCGGGCAGGTCAGTTGAGGTCTGCTACACCATGTGGTCACCTCAGGGTCAGGCGGGGATCGAACTCATGCGGAAGTGGCTTAAGCTTTAACCCGCTGCGCTACCAGGGAGGGCCCGATGAGTGACTTTTAAATATATGCATAGGCCCAGACTTCTTGTTGACTTGCTTATGAATGTCATCTCTACTCAGATACTGTGTTTTGGATACCCGTTATAAAATAAATGTTGGTTCTTTTTCTCTAAAAAATGATTTTAAGATCTGTCAGAAGAAATGATTCACTCCATACAGTTGCTCTTTTCGTTTCTGTGTGATTATTTAGGATCTGATAACTGATAACAGTTTACTTGAATGTCCAGGATAAGGATAAAATAAAGTTCGGGGGGAGGGGGGGGTTTATTATGAGCAGGAAATGAAAATACCATAGAGTTTTAATAGACCAGGCAGATGCGCTTTCTTTTTCTAGCAGCCGACTCTGGTCGGGGGTGGTGTGGATCCCCTTACCTTCGCTGGGAGCTGCTTCTCCCAAGTGTGCTGTTACCGTGGTGCTCCTGGCATAAATGCTGCCAATTAAGCCCCGGTGGAACGAAGTTTCCCCAAAATTTCTGAAGGGTTGAAAAATGGCTTTCAGCTTTACTGATGTTGAGTGAGAATGAGGTCAGATGGAGTAATTAGAATTCAGTGGGTTAAATTGCCTCCATGTGCTCCAGGTTGTGGGCTGTTAAACTGTTTATCTTTGAATCCAACATGCTGAGGTCGGAGCCGCCTGGGTGCTGGGCCCGAGCCGTGTTTTGCCAGGATTGCGTTATTGGGATTTCCTGTGTTGAACAAGGACCGCTGTGTCCCTCAGATGCTTGTCCCAAGGAATTCCTCCCTGAAAATCTTCTTGGCGTGGTAAATGTACCCTTCCTTCCCGGAGGCTAGATTAATTCACTTCTGGGATTTGAGGATTCGTTTAAGGAGGAAAAGGGAAAATCAGCATGCCCTAATATAATAAGAAGGGAGGCAAAAACATAATATGCTTCTGTTTATAAACCAATTTATGGTCACAAAGGGAATATTAAAGTTTAAATAATTTCATCTGTATTTTATATTTGAAAGTTGCTAAGAGAATTCACCCTAAAAGTTCTCATCAGACGGGAAAGATACCGTTAGAATTGTTGGGCTAGATAACAACTAGACTGGACTGTGGCAAATAGTTCCCAGTATAAACATGTAGCTTATGGTCTCCATATTGGAAACTAACGTGTTATAGATCGAGTACATGTCAAAACTAAAACAAATGTCATCTCTAAGAGGTTCATTCTCTCCAGGTTTGTGAGGAAAATGAAAAGGCTTAAGCTTTAGTAGATTCTGGTGCTTCTTGGGGGACTCACTCCCTGTTTCTGAGAGGGTTTATGACCTAGGGATGCTGCCTTCCACCCGCAAGACAGTCAGTGTGAGCTCAAATGCGGTGAGAGTGTACATCACCCCCTTCGAGTTTCCACCTTAGAGGAGCTTAGAGGAGCTACTTCCAAAACTCTTCTGACCCCAGTTTTTTTTTTTTTTTAACCCTCATTGGTATCCAGGTTTGAGGAGGAACCGTTTGCAAGGAATTTGGTCGTTGTCTTTTCCCCAGGATGCTGCCCCTAGTTCTTTGTGCTTAAAGAAGGTCCTCTTGCACCCCCTGGGTAGGTCACACCTTGCAAGCATTTTAGTAGAAACTCGCCAGTGTCCCAATGTAATAAGACTTCCAGCACTGTTCAGTCTATACCACGAGGTGCGTTCTCCCAGAGGAGTGTGAAAATGTATGCAATGCTTATTGGTTTTCATTTACGTCCTAATGTTGGAGGACTGGAGCCATAAACCGAAGAGCCAGAAGTTGATACTAGCCACTTAAAAGATCGCGTGGATGCTGTAAATAGCCAGGCAGACAGCTTGTCTTCCCTCCAGGGGCTTTCTTGGCAGAAAATTAAAAAGGAAAAAATGGCTACATGATTTAAAAAAAACACTGTGGTATTTGGTGATAATAACAACGTTGCTATAATGCGCTCCAGCTCACAGAATGCATTCCCATTATTATTTCATTGAATTCTTACAAGTCCCAGAGGGGGGTAAGACAATACTGCATTATGATTAAGAAAATGCCGCCTCTACCACTTGCCGTGTGGCTGTGTGAGTTAAGCCCTCTAAGCTTATTTTCCTAAATTTTGAAATGGGAGTCACAGCCTCCTCTTAGGATTGCTGTGCAGGGTATTGGCGATAAAGCACAAACAGGACTATGTAGTAACCACTTAAGAAAAGGCAACTGTTTTTATATTCTCAGGTGTAATAATTTTTTTAAAGATTTATTTATTTAAAGTAAATACAGGTGAGAGGTTTCTTTAAAATAAATACACTTAACATAATACGTTGAAGATTTAAAATAAATTTATTTAAAATAAATACAGGCGAGGTTTATTTATTTATTTAAAATAAATACAGGTGAGAGGTACAGGTGGGAAGATTCACCAGAGAGACAGAGTGGGGAGCAGAACAGGCAGATGTACTGCAATACGCTGCTGAGGGGAGCAGCAGGTGGGCCAGGAGAAGTCTGCCAGCCATGTGGGCTCGAACTGGTGCTGCAGTGGCTGCAGAGATCTTCATAGTGCTGTGCTTTAACCCGTGGAGCCACCAGGGAGGACCCGTATAATAATTCTCACTTTGCAGATGAGGAAACTAAAAACGACAAGCAGTCACACCATGAATAGTTGGCCGGGCTGGAATGCAAATCTGATTTTTCTGCTCCAGCTTGTCCTCTCCCTACGGCTCCTTAGCTGAGATGTGTAAGCCAGAAACATTTGGGTGCTTCTGCTGGCAAAATTCCCCATGAGAACAAACCTCTTCTGGGGTGTTTCTGCTCCGCTAACCTTTCCACAATCTCCTTTTGTGTTCACAGAACATCATCAAGAAGGTGATTGGGCAGAAGTTTGTGTACAAGTTTGTCTCTTTCCCAGAGATACTGAAAATGGACCCTCACTCTGTGGAGATCAGCCGGGAGAGCCTTTTGCTGCAGGACGGCGACTGTAAGGTGCCCCCTGAGGCCCGCGAGGCGCACAGACACGGCTTGCCTGCCCTCAAAAGCACCAGCCGCAACGAATACATCCACTCAGGCCTGTACTCGTCCTTCACCATCAACTCCCTGCAGACTCCGCCAGAGCCTTTCAAGGCCATCAAGACGGAGAAGCTGGAGGACCAGCCGGAGGACAGCCCCCCCGTGGAGGAAGTCAGGACTGTCATCAGGTTTGTGACCAATAAAACCGACAAGCACATCAGCAGGCCTGTGGTGTCGCTGCCCTCCACGTCGGAGGCCTTCCTGGGCTCATCCGTCTCAGCCAAGATCTCCTCGTTAATGTTGCCCAATGCTGCCAGCATTTCCTCCGCTTCGCCCTCCTCATCTCGGTCCCCCTCCCTGTCCCCCAACTCTCCCCTCCCTTCTGAACACAGAAGCCTCTTCTTGGAGGCCGCCTGCCGTGACTCGGATCCCCTAGAGCCTTTGAACCTCTCGTCGGGCTCCAAGACCAGGTCTCCATCTCTCCCCCCAAAGGCCAAAAAACCCAAAGGCTTGGAAATCTCCGCTCCTCCTCTTGTGCTCTCCGGCACCGACATTGGCTCCATCGCTCTCAACAGCCCGGCCCTGCCCTCAGGATCCCTCACCCCAGCCTTCTTCACCGCACAGGTAAGAGCCCTCCCTGTCACCCGCTGCTCCCAGACGCTGTGGCTGAGAGGGAGGGAGAAGGGGCAGCCGGCTTCTGTCCTGCCAAAGATCATCCTAGGGCCTGTGCCCAAGTCACGTGCAACTGTGAAGATAGGTCATGCACTTTTCCATGCCCAGAGCAAGGTGCCCCCAAGAGAAAGCCTCAGGGTCATGGTGGCTGTGGGGTGCTTGCTCTGTCTTTTGCTTCGAGTGGCCTAAAGTGATGGACCAAGCACGCTGGCTGCAGAGCAGATCCGGCGTGATTTCCTTGGGAAAGTTGGGCAGGTGAATGTCATTTCTGGAGGCATTTATTGGGCTTCACAGAATTTTTTTTTTTAAAGATTTCTTTATTTGTGCATACAGACCTGGGGTACAGGCCAGAGGTGCAGGTGCTGTGAGAGGCTTCACCAGACACAGAGTGGGGAGCAGAACAAGCAGATCTACTGAAATACACTGCTGAGGAGGGGTCTGCTGCACCTTGTGGTCAGCTCCCTGGCCAGGGATCGAACTCGTGCTGCAGTGGCTTTGGAGAGAGCCACAGAGCTGTGCTTTAGGCCCTTGCACCACCAGGGACTCGCTTTCTGAGCCTGATTCCTGCTAGGGAACTGCATCACGGTGAGGATGAAATGGTGGCCGTGGCCCGAGGGCAGCTACCCCTGGCAGGGTTTCTCCTCTTGCAGCTTTGGGGGTGGATGGGATGCTCTCTCCTTGCATCCATTGTCATCGCCAGCAGCATGTCAGGCCTGCAGGGCCTGGTCCTAGGGAGCTCCCTCGGGGCTTTGCTGCAGTTACTTCTCATGGCTGGCGTGAGGTAGATTCGGTGTTCTCTCACTTCCCCACTTGAGTGCCTGGGCCTCCCTCCCGTGGTGGCGTGTCCTTACCTGCCAGCTCATGAACTTGAACTGATGCGAAATCCCTGGGCCGCCGTTGATTTGGGAGACGCGTGGCTTTGCTTTTCATTCACCCCAGCTGAGGTGAACGAAGCACGTAGGTATAGTAACTCACCCCAGGTGGTAGAGTGAATCTGAACCCAGCTAGTCTGCCTCCACACTCTGAGAAAACTCTCCTGGCAGCCCACTGGGAACTCACCTCGTTCCCCACGAGCCAAGCAGCCCGTGGCCTCTGCAGAGCCGCTCTCGGCCACGCGTCTCCCAAATCAACGGTGGCCCAGGGATTTCGCCTCAGTTCAAGCTCGTGAACTGGCAGGTAAGGACACGCCACCACAAGAGGGAGGCCCAGGCACTCAGTTATGGCCAGAGTGGGCATGTGTGCTGCCACGTGGGTATTTCCTGGGCAGGCGGGAATTGTGCAGTGACGAATGACTGCGGAGAAAGTGGCTCAGAGAGAGAACTGGAGAGTCGGGGCCTGGTGGGCATTCTGAGCCTTCCTCCTGTGAGTCTGCACTGTGAGGTCTAGCAAGGACTAAAGCCAGGCCGGGCCGACTCTGATTTCAGTCCCTGTGCCAGCTCTGTGGGCATCTCTGAGGTCAGCCATCAGCTCGGGTGGCCGGGTGGAGTGGACTGAGGATGGTGTGACTGACTCGACATGAGATAGCAGTAGAGGGTGATCAAACAAATGGATGCAAAGCTCACGACCAGACACAGAACTTGCTCCGAGGGCCTAAAACCTGGGAGGGGAAAGTCTGATGATTGACAGAGAACCCGTGCGCCAGGCAGAGGAGACGGAGTGGCCTTGGCCAGCTGTGGGGGCAGGGCCTTGGTGTGTGTGAGTTTCAGAAAGCGGGAGAGATGGGAGCTGCCTGGGCTTTCGGAGGGGAGGGCAGCAGAGGGCGGGGCTGGGCTGGGCTCCCTGCAGAAGCTGGGAGGTGGGGCCAGAGCTGAGGGGCCTTCGGGTCAAGGTGAGGGGTGCAGACTGTGCGGAGACGTACTGCAGGAATGAGGTAGGTAGTGCGTGACCCCGTGCAGTCCTGAGGCTGGCTGTGGGAAATGCAGAATCTTAGCAGCTCAAACACCCTCAGCTTCTAGCCTTGTGAGTTCTGCACCCCGAGTGAGCGACTGAGGGTGGCTGACAGAGGGGGAGCAGCAATGAAGGAGAAGCCAGAGGGCAGAGATAGGGCAGGACTCAACAGCAGAGACAGGTGTTTTTATCTTTCCAAGCCAGAAGCTGCTGGGACTTCAGGGTAGGCCTGGCATCCATGTAGAATTTGTTTTCAGAGATTCTCTCCTCCCTCAGGAGCTGCTGGAGGTGCTGGAGAACCCAGTCCCCCAGCACATGGTTAGTCAGAACCAGTGTCAGCTCCCTCAACCGCCACCATCCTGGCGAGGGCCACTTTCCTTGTCAGCTGCCAGGTCAGCTCTGGGGGCTCCTGTCCACCAGGTGGTGGACAGAAAGGTGCCCAGGGCCTTTCTCCCGCAGCCAGCGGTGCTGTCTCACTCCTGCTGCTTGCTGGTTTCCGGTTGGATAGCGCATTTTGTCCCAGAAACTCTGCCTTCTTCTGAGGGGTGTGATTTCTTTTAAAAAAAAGATTTATTTATGCATACAGAACTGGGGTACAGGCCAGAGGTTCAGGGGCGGTAAGAGGATTCATCAGAGACAGAGTGGGGCACAGAACAGGCTGACTGACGAAGTACACTGCCGAGGGAGCAGTGGGCGGGTCAGGAGAGGTCTGCTGGCCATGTGGGTCACCTCTGGGGTCTCCAGGGTGGGGATCGAGCTCATGCTGAAGTGGCATTAGCTTCTTAGTGCTGGGCTTTAACCCACTGTGCCACCAGGGAGGGCCCTGAGGGGTGTGATTTTTACACAGAGACATCTGGTTACCTGTGGGAACCTCTGAGAAACTTCCCTTAATGGTTGGTTTTAGCAGACACAAGGTGCACTATAATAACTTTATCCTGAAAAGGCAACTGCTAAGAAATTTTACTTAATTTTTTTCCTACGTCTACGACTAAGTCCCAGTTATTTTCAGCTGGAAACATGGCAGGGAGAGCGGGGTTAAGGGTGTTGGCTTGATTGTGGTCAGGTGGTGAGTTCCTTCCACGGACCTCATTAAAACACGGACCTCGTGGATGCCTGAGATTGCATCTACAGCATGCATGCTCGTAAAAAATCACGGCACTTTGCCACCGACCCAACACCATAGCCTCCGCTCCCCAGAAGAGAGCTTGGGTGGTGCATCTGCGGCCCTAGGTCAAGTGCTGTTGATTGCTCGTGTGAGAGTTGAAGAAACCAAGGTTCCTGATGTAGGCAGACATGATGTGCCACTCAAGGAGCCTTCAAGCATGGATGGCGAGGCTCTGAAAATGGGAGAATAGGAGCCAGCTGGGTACCAAAAGGTGATAGTCAGAGCATTGAGGTCATCAAGGATGTTATCTCGGATGACTCTGGATGCAGAAATTAAGATGGGGAGGAGCCAGGATGTCAGACCCTCCGGGTTCCCAGGTAGGCACCATGGAAGCCTAAATGGCGCCCTGTAGTTCCGGCCCACTTCCTGCCGCTGGTCTTTTCCATTCATTCTCTCTCTCCTCCTCTCTTGACCATGCAAAGTTCAGAATCCCGCCGGCCCATTGTGTTTCCCTTCCTTGGTGCCAGGTTCGGTTAATGTCACAGAGATGTTGGAGATGCTGACTCCAGGTAGGTGCAGGCCTTGGGACTTGGGTCCCCAGGCCTGTGTTAGCAGCAGCTAGATCAATACTAATTGAATGGACACAGCTTGCTGGGGGCTGAAATGCTAAAACCTCCTACTTTGTTATGCTGATGGCTATAGCAAGTTAGAGCCAAAATCATAAGGTAGGCATTTGGGGTAAAATAGAGGCACATGGTAGGGAGCAGGTGGGGTCACTGAATCCTTTCCCAGCTCTAGTTTTGTTAAGGGGAAGGATGTCGTAAAGGAACTCTGCAGAGTTCTGTGGACTCCACCTGCTACTCCAGTGATTGGAAACTACAACTCCCAGCAGTACCAGGGAGAGAACTGTGAGGACCCAAGGGTGGAGCTAAGCAGGAATTCTGGGACTTTGGGAGATAAATAGGGCGCCATCAGCCAATGGCTCTCTCACTCGGGCAGTGGCTCTCGGGACCACGTGACTCGGGGCTTTCAGTTTGTTACCAGAGTTCCAAGTCAGCAGAGCCAGTAAGAGATTCCACTTACCTTGTCTCTTTCCCTGGGTTGTTCCTTTTCCTTTCCCCTTTGTAAGTAAACACTTTATTGACCCTTTTGCATGCACCTGCACAACTAAATTTTACGCGCGCGGGTGAGGACCCTCAGACAGGCAGCCCGGTTCACACTGGGGTGCCCTGTAACAGTTTCTTTGCCTACTTTCTCTTTTGCCATGAACTCAAAAAGTAAAGGTTTTCCTTTCATGTGACTGTAACACTCTCAGCTCACTCAGCACACAGCTGCCTGCACACCAGCATGCAGGAGAGGGGATGTCCTTTCAGCCATGAGACGCCACTGGGCAAGTTCTGTGGGCCCTGACAGCTAAATCTTTTGCTTTTCCCAGGTCTTGGTTCTCTGGGATCAACACACCGTGGGGGTCCCACTCTGGGGCCGTCTCCCTCTGCTTTTTGTGGCGCCTCTTCATGGTCCTGCCCCCTCTGCAGTTCTCTCCTGCTCCTCCTTCCCCCACATCCGTGAATGAGTCAGGCTTTGTGTACTTGGCCTCTGTGGCTCTCACCCATGGCCTTGATCATGTTGCTGCAGAAGGCACTTGAGTGCAGGGCACGCGTGTCTGACGGGACACCTGGGGCATGGTGCCACGCACGCCTAAGTGTGCTCACCTGGGCCTGGAGGGCAGGCCTATGAGGGCTGCCTCACTCAGGAGCCGGCTACAGGGCCGTGAGTGACTGTTGAAGAGGTGCGGCCATATGAGAACACCAGAGGGAGCCCAGGGGAAGCGTGTAAATATTCCTGGGGGGCCAGGAGGCTGGCTACCTGCCAGCGCCCCCTAACTGGCCCCTGCCTGCCCCACCTACAGGCTTGCCACTAGACCCCTATGTAAGGTGAGCATATTCAGAGCTGATGCTTCTGGGTGAATCTTTTAAGGGCTTTCCTTTAAAGTTGTCACCACCATACATTTTGATTTGAATTCGGGGCACTTGAGGTGTTCCCGGAGATTCTCCGTCATCTTTGAGGACATTTCAACCGCAGAATGGCATTGTTATAGAGGATTGGCACCCATGAGGTTCAGATGAGAGATGTTTGTTGGTACAACTCGTTAAATCAACATGCTGACTTTCTCGCCTTTATTTTCTAAGTCCTGAACAACTTGGCAGTACCTCAAGTCAGCAGTGAATCTGCAGATACTTCTTGTGGCACAGCTCATGTATAGTCTCTTTAGCCAGTTAAGTAATGAGTGGTGACTTAATTCATGCATTTGGGAGACAGTTGTTGGACACCTGCTGTTTGCTGGGCACTTGGGACTCAGGTGAGGATGGTCAGAGCCCCTGAGCTCATGAGCCAAGAGCTTGTTCAGCAGGTAAAAACGATAGAGCTAGCTTCGAAGGCTGTGTGAAAGGATAGATTCTGAAAACTGGCTGAGGAATTCAACCTGTTTTGATGGGAAAGTTGCATTTGCTGGAGTTGTAAGTTAACAGAAACAAAGGTTCCTGTTTTATCAACAAATAATTACTGAATATTGTTTGCAAGACATAGAAAGGACAGAAGTACAAGTGCCTAACTTTGAGGATTTTAGGACCGAGGTTGGCAGCTAGGTGTGCGTGTGCACACACACGACACTGTAGCAAGAGTGAAATACCCAGTGCAGAGCATACCTTAAGGAACCAAAGTGGGTAAGAGTATTTGTTTGAGTCAACAAAATGAACTGAGCACCTGTCATGTGTGAGCCTGGGGCTGGGGCTACAAATACGAATCACTTCGTCTCTGGTCGTCAGGTGCTCCTCACGTAGGGGGGTGCTGATAGTATCCCAGACACAGCAAGCAGGAAATACTTAGGCACAAAAGAAATGCCGAGGAGGGAGGTGTTGCTGGTGGGGGCAGGTGCTGACAGGGCTTCACGGGCGTGCTCACACCTGGCTCCAGTGACGGATCCACAGTGATTTATCCGGCAGACGGGTGAAAAGGACATTGTGGGCAGTGGACTAGCATGAGCCAGGCATAAAGGGGTGAAGCCACTCAGCATCTCTAGGGTAAACAGCTTTACCAAGGGGCAGGGTAAATTCTAGCAGTGAAAGGTGGCAGGGATGGGGCACCAGAGGCTTGGTCAAGTTGCATTTTGGAAGTATTGTTTGTCCCTGAAGACTGGGGAAGGGGAGGGGCAAACTCGATACAGTGCAGCTGAGAGGCAATGAGGATCTAAGGCTGTATCCGTGGGAGGAGCTGGAGGAGCTGAGATTCAGGGAATGGCATCAACACGGCTTGGTGACTAACTGGGTGTGGAGGCGGTTGGGGTCAGCCAGAAGTTGAGTATGAGGCACAGAGGAGGAAGGATGAGCTCATGGGGAAAGGCTGGGAGCTTGAGGTGCCCGTAGGACATTGAAGAGGAAATACTAAGTGGCAGCTGGAGCTAAGGAGAGTTTGGGGCTGGAGATGAGTGTGGGAGTCAGATATGTCCAGGGTGATTAAAGTTATGGAAAAGGATGGGAGCTGGGACCGCCCGTGACCAGGGATGTTCTGGAATGAGTGCTGATGAATGGGGGGCAGAGGGTTTGTTTTGGGATTCCATGATGCTCTGGACACAGCAAGCCAAGCAGGAAGGTTCGCATCGGGACAGCAGGGAGCATGTGAAGTGGTTATAGGAAAACCTACAGTTGTGTCTAAGGAGCTTGTACCTTTCCCCCTAGAAACTGTGAAAATCTTTCAATGGACATAGTATCTCAGAGTGATTGATCTGGTGGAGGTGCTCCAGAGAGACTGGCGGGGACGGGGAGGCACCCACAAACTGGCGGGCTGGTGTGGGTGGTGGACAGGCCTTGGTTGCAGCAGGAATGGAAATGGAGGGATTAAATTCGGTTCAAGGAAGGTTCCACAAGCCCTGTCGGAGATGCTGGCAAGGCCAAGTCATCCAGGTGACTGGGGTGCTGGGTGGTAGACAGAGCTGAATGCAGGGGTCCTGTCTTATCACTGAGTCTGGCACCTGCTGGGGAGCACCATCGGGGGATTCAAGCTGCCTACAGAGCAGGAGGGCAGCTAAGAAACATTGGATTTGGTGAGAAAGGTGATGAGTTCCGTTTGAACCTGTGGTCATTCCCAGTGAAGGGCATAAGCAAGGGGGTACACCTAGAGGTGCCAATCACGTCCGCTCATCAGGTATTCAGGAGCTGTTCATGGCATAAAGCTAAGACCTTACAGCTACAGAAAGCAGTATGATGAAAGCACATTACCATAATATGAAGCAGAACATGTTAAATGTTAATTTAAAATGTGGTTATAAGTGGTATAAGGATTCAGAAAAAAGCAAAGTGCCATCTGGTTGAGGGGAGATCAGGAAAGTCTTGAGGAGGAAGAATTTTGGTGAGCAGAGAGAGGGAGGCGGGAGAGCCAGAGGTCAGAGGACGCGCGTCTAAACCAGCTTATCCGGGTTCTGATGTGGCTTTATAGGTAGCAAGTGGGAGAAGAACTGAGCAGGGAGGATCAAAACACGATACCAGGGTCTTTCCCCTTGAAAATAAATACCTACTGCTCCTTCCCCAGCACGGTCTCCTTCCCCAGCAGCTGGTTGGGATCTGTGCCATTCAGAACGGCCCCTTTGCTAAGATACTCCTTGGAAAGACCGGAAGCGCACGTCTGGTTGTGGCTTCTTCCTTCAGCCCCTCGCCCTCAGCCCAGCCCACATTCCTCCAGGAGCAGTGTGAAAGGTCACACTGTCCCACAGATAACCCAGGGGACGCTTTAAAGAAACCTTAGAAGAGCAACAGTAGATTTTTCTTTAAGGCCACAGACCTTTGGGGAGTCCAGAGCTGGGAGGGGGAGAAGCAGATGAAGTCATTTCACAATATTTATTTGCATATATTATAGGAGACATTTCAAACACATTAAACATGAGAAACAGAAGGTTACTGTATTCGGAGTACATCCTGTATCCCGTAGACACAAATGTGTAAACATCTGAAATCCAAACATATGAACAACCTTTAAACTGAAAATTCCATAACTTATAAATTGTGGAGAGGATTCTAAAGGAATAGGTGTGTGTTTATGGTCATGGATGAAAGACGACTATGTAGTATAGTTTAGGAGACTGTATGCAGAGCTTTTGAGACTTTCATGGATGGATAAGTGAGGCCCCGGACACACCGGTCACTAAATGTTAATGTGGAACATACTGTGTTGGAACCTGGCTCCGGTGATTGCAAATATTAGTTCTTTGTCCACCTGAGCCTGTGGACATGAGCTGAACAACACTAAGGAATCTTAAGGTGCCAACTGACCACACAGGTCTGTTTCAGAACATTAAGTTCTTTCCTGTATACAGTGGAGAATTCTGAATAGAAGGCGTGCATTTCCTAAGCGGGTCAAGTCTACTAACGTTAGTAATTAATAATAGCAGCATTTAATATTTGTTGAGTTTTTCTGTGTGCCACAGCACAGTTCTCTGCACACAGTTCTACGTAGATCATCTTGTTTCATCTTCCTGACCATCCTGGAGTGTAAGCTTTGTGTCCCTGATTTAGGAAACTGCGGCACAGAGAGAGGTGCCATTGCTCGTCGAGAATACCTAGCTGGTCAGTAGTAGTTCTGAGGTGAGCCCAGGGCAGGGGCATACTGAGTGCCTAGGTCTTAACTGTTAGGCCAGATGGCCTGGCCCACTTGTTAAACTGCTGTGGATTAAAACAAAAGGGAAGCTTGCTCAAAACTGGTATTTATCCTGGCAACCTCATAAGTCATTCAGTATTCCATAGGCAATGCTATGGAACCAAAGACTCAAGTAACTTAGTGTAAATTGGCTTACCTTTCAAGCATCTTCACAGTTTTGTGAATACCTTTGGGTATTTGTCTCCTCTCTGCTCTTTCAACTTAGGTTAAAGCCACATAATCTCTATAATTAACGAAGCCCCTGAGGCCTCGATGCTAGGAAAAAAACACTTTTAGCACCCAGTATGATGCAATCTCAAGTGTGGGCACCTTTGCTGTGGTTCTCACACTGAGTGCCTTTACTGACATTGCAGATCACTGAGGGGCTCTTTGCTAGTGACCGGAGGTACAGATCCACTTGGAGTTTGCCCCCACTGAGAACCCAAGCCTGCCGACCTGCCAGCTGGGACAGGCTGTGCCTCCTGCCCTCTGGCCGGTGGACAGGCCAGGGCTCCTGCTGTGTGTGCAAGCAAATGCAGTCCTTGGCCCTCTCCCGGGGAAACTCAGCCTTTTGGCTCCACACCTAATTTGACAAGAAAGGATTTTCCCCCCTCCTTCAAACCATTGCCAGGGAGATGAATTCTCATCAGCCCCACATCCGGAGTAAAATGTGGAAAACCCAGTTGTGAACTTTTAAAGAAGCTGCTACAGGGGTATTTCAACAGATCTTAAAAGTATTAAGGGGCTGCTGGTGCGGGAAAGTAAAGCTTGAGGCCCTTAGGAAAAAAAAAGTGAGAGTGAAAAAGCATGGATGTCCACTGTAGAAAACTAAGAAAATAAACATAGGAAAATAAAGCCCTTCATGGATCCTGCTTGGCTTAAACACTAAATCTAGTTTATCGTGGGCGGGTGAGCCAACTTAAGAAGCCATCTGGATAAAAATGGCTGCGCATTCCGCTTGAATGTTCAGGGTAGGTAATGTATCTGTGCCTTCCTCCTCTATAAAACTGCTGATACAATTACATTGAAGAAAATTAAACTGCAGTTTTGCTGAAATACAGTCGTCAGAATCTCCTTAGAAGGTGGGGCTTGTTTCTCGCTGATGGCTGCCGCCAGCCACTCTAATCATGGAATTTAGACCTACCACAAAATGGCCCCTTTGCTTTCCTTTCCAGACACCAAATGGGTTGCTCCTGACTCCGAGTCCACTGCTGTCCAGCATACATTTCTGGAGCAGCCTAAGTCCAGTTGCTCCACTGAGTCCTGCCAGGCTGCAAGGGCCAAACACGTTGTTCCAGGTGAGTATTTGGAGATGAACTTTTACTTATTGTTTTAAGATTTATTTTATTTACGCATACAAGAACTGGGGTGTAGGCCAGAGGTGTGTGTGGGGGGAATGAGAGGATTCATCAGAGTGGGGTGCAGAATAGGTGGATTGACTGTTCTACACCTCTGAGAGGAGCAGCGTGTGAGGCAGGACAGGTCTGCAGCCCACATGGCTCAGCTGCCTGGCTGGTGGGTATCGAACTTGTGCTGTGGCGCCTGATAGGTCATAGTGATGACACTTTAGCTCCTGCACCACCAGGGAGGCACTGGAAATGAACTTTTATAGAACTTCAAAGGGATGTGTCCCCTAACATCCTGCAAAAGGTAACAGTGAATTCTGTCTTACTGTTTTTTATTCAAATGTAAAGTTTTCAAAGGAAGTTCACTTAAGTGGGAATGCAAAAGGCAGCCTTCAAAGCAAAACATTTTCTTTGAGGCAGAAACACCAGTCAGCATAAATGAAGCAATTCTTGAAGTTTCTGGATATTTGGAAACTGGACATTATGGAAAAACTAGTTAAACTCTCATAAAATACCATAAAGACTTTACATAATAAATTAGTCAACAGTATCACTTGAAATAGAAAAATGAGAAAATTCCCTTCATATTATAATAGGAAAGTTATTGGCATCAATTGTTAAATCATAATCGAAGTATCTCTTTGTAATTTAAAAGGAGTATCCGAGGCGTTTGGCTAAAAACTCTGAGCTCTTTATCCTGTAGAATTACATACTAGGGATATGCTTCCTGTTCACTCCTGATAGACTCTCGTAGTGGCATCACTTGCTATTACGTGACAGTTTCCTGCGATCCTAAGGTTGTTACTAACCAACAGGATGTTACTGTTTGAATATGGGAGTGTAGATTAGAAAGGCTCCAGGGGCAGAAATGAAGCAAAGGCAGCTAAAATAAAATTCCCTCTTAATTCTGTCCTCCTCCATCCTGGATCCCATGCTACTTACTCCGTGTGATTCACCCATCTGTAATTCTGCTGAGTCAAGCATGGGCCACTTTGCATTGGAGTTGCCTGCTTATCTGATGATCCTCCACCCCCACCGCCCGTGGAGATGGGCCCTCGGCATCCGTAAATGCTTCTTGCTCTGTGGTGTGACCCTACCATCTACCACATTGCATGGTGCTCAGTAATTCTCATGGACTGAATGAATGGTTGGATGACTAAGAAGGCATCAGGATATGGCTAAGAAAGCAAGTGTTAACAGGATCACTTGTCTGAGTTGGTCATTTTGCCTGTCATGGTTTACATTTCCTGAGTATTCTGTGCCAGGAGCTGTGGTGTTTATGGCCTTGTTGTAAGAAGGGCAGAGTTAACGAGGTTCTGATTACAATCTAGCTTCTCTGCCTCCCTATAGATTTGAGGTAGGGTGTCTTGATATACCCCTGGAGTCATTAGGTTTCTCTTTCCTGGCTCTCTTCCAGTCTCTAGAAATTGAGCTGTGGTGATATACAAGCTAATGTGTTGATTCTTAGCTATTTTAACTCAGGCAGAAAAACAAAAGTAAAGAAACAATAAGCCCAGAAAATGGTAACATTTCAGATTGGTAGAGAACTAAAATACCCTACTTCTTGGGTCTTCAGATTGGAGCAGTGCATTGTGGTATTAGGGCTCCCCAATAGAAGAGAAAGCTGCTTTCTCTTCTACAGCTTCATATTAAAACCCCTCGCACTACCAGGGAGCCCCTGAACATTTTCTTTTAGAAAGTGTTGTAGTAAGAGAAAGAATTAAGCAATAAGTTTAAATGATGCAAGTTTCTGTTGTGTTTGGAAAAGTAGATCAGAATCCTTAGTCACAATTTACAGCCTTTCACAGAAGTCCTACTATTATTATAGATGGTCACAGCAGATATTAAAGAATATTTAAGGGAATGAGAGAGAAGATACTAGTTTCTGTGTAAGTACCATGGTGCTCCAGTTAGTAGCCCTTTGGGGAGAGGTATGCTGTGTTTTAGTAAAGACAGATACCAGTCTAAATAAACAATCTTGATTTATCAATAGAAGTTCACTGGATACTATTGCATTTCATCTTGTCTAGAAATCGACTCCACTTTAGAAACAAATTTTGATCAATTTTGGAATTGATCTGTATTTAGTAGATAATCATGTCTTGAAACAAGGCAGAGCTAAATGTTTAATTGAATGTCTAATTTTTGATTCAGCACATCTAGTACAAACAGCAGTATCTGGAAGACTCTGGGGTAGGGGCTGCAGGGTATTCAGCGTGTGATTAACGATGTGTGAAGAAACCTGGTGACGGGAGATCAGGGGTTTCTACCCTCATCTGTTCACTGATAACCATGGAAAGCTTTGTAAGTGTGAGGAAATTTACAATACCCCAAAGAGTCATTCTACAAGCATCTTCTTTTAGATTGGAACAGTGAAGACAGGAACAGACAAAACTGAGGGAGATTTTTACTTGGGCTTAAGGACTAAGTAGACAGTAAAAACTCGGAGGAAACAAAGATTATGTGATTAAAGGTCTGCAAGATATTCATAGTCAGTATTGAGGCCTGCTCTTGCCAGATATTCCTAATTACAAGAGCTTCATTTTAAAGCAAGAAAATTGAAGCCCATGAGTTGCAGAATTTACCCATTACCACAGAACTTCTAAATGTCTTCGAGATACGTGGGTGCTGCTTCAGTCTACTGCCTCCTGCCCCGGATCCAAGGCTGTCTCTCCGGTTGGCTTTTGAAGCTTGTCTTTATCTGAGCCTTAGTGACACCTTCCTGCTTTTTTTTCCTCCTGACTTATTGCACCTAGCATTATTGCTGCCAGCTCTGTATTTAGAAACCTCACGCCCCCTCCCTGCTCTCACTCACCAGCTTTGCACAGCCTTCTGCCAAAATCAGTTGGCTGTTTAGTTCAGGAAGTGTAGTGTCTTTTAGTCTGAGTTTAAAACTTGGATTTACTGCCTATTAGCTGCGAACTTCAGTCAATCAGGACTTACTTGGAGTCTCAAGTATACATCTATAGAAGTGGGGTGTGATCAGACTTGACAGGATCTAGATGTCAAATGAAGTGACAGCCATCGATAAACCATCAGGCACTAGCCACGTAACAGGTACTGACATAAATTGCAAAAATAAGTTTACTTGTCCTACAAATATTTATTGTACTTCTAACACGTGACAGACTTGGTAATTTGGTATTCAGTGCTAAAGTTTAATATTTAACTTACCTAGACTAAATAGGAATGAAACCAGAAGACAGCCCAGGAGATCATGCCAGACAGTGAAAATCTAGTAGTGAACAGCTTTTAAAGGCTTAAAAGGTAGTCATGATTTTTGTTCATTTGGGAGTAATATAAAATATATTAAAGAAAATGCATCTTAGTTACCAGTAATACAGAAATTACTTACAATTTTAATTAAAATACTTTTTTCAGCCCCAAATGTCTCATTTTTAGTTACTGAGAAGTGTCCTTGGAAGTATTGTAAAACTACTGCCCAATTCCAAGTGTTACAAAGGATTAGAATCACATGTAAAAGTCATTTGTCTGGTTTTCAAAATTTAAATATTAATTATGAAAAACTGAAGCAAATAACATCCCAATAACTTGAAACCTTTTCCTGTACTAAAATACCTGCTTTCTGTAAAATACCTAGTCTAGGCACATAAAATATTCTGTTTGCTCTCTGTATGTAATCTTGATCTCATTGTCATTATTTACCATGGCTAGGAATGTAAAGAATATTCTTTCTAATACATTGACAATAATTATATCAAAACCTGTTTGTTCCCTACAGTTCCCAACACTGCTTAATGGTCACATGCCGGTGCCAATCCCCAGTCTGGACAGAGCTGCTTCTCCAGTACTGCTTTCTTCAAACTCTCAGAAATCCTGATAACCTCTGGCCACAATTAAAGACTCATTAACTGAAGAAACAACTTGTCCCCATGGGCTAGTTCACCTGTGTCATGAGAAGGACATTGTGAAACCCTCTATTAATTTGGTTTGCACTTTTCATAACATGGATGGTCTAGATTTATGTTAGCATTTTTAAAACTTTTTATATACAAGTATATATGAAAATCTGTTTTGCATTAAGTGAATTTTAATTTTTTTTATATCCTCTTAGCTCTTATGTGTTGAACACTGTTGACAGTGAAGAACTTTTTAATGGTTTTCAGTAACTAATAAGGATGTGAAGCTTTTTTCGCTAATTCTGCATATGCTGAATTGTGCTTGTATACACTATAACCAGCTGTGCCTTCCTTTGCATTTAGTTTTATGTAAATGATTTTTATATTTTTAGTATTAAGAAAGTGTTTGAAAGATGAAAATTAGTATCAAACAGCTCTCTAGTAGAATTTCATTATTTTTCACAAGTAGGCAACATGAAAGCATAGTCATATTTTTCTTTTTTGCTTTCAGTTGTATGAGAATTGCCTTAGAACCTCTTGAAACTGAAATTCAGCAAACGTAATAATGTCCAACTAATTTTTTTTAATAAGAAACTAAGCTATATTTAGACAACAATAAAACATTCAAAAGAAAATGCTTGAAAGTACATTTTTTAAAAATATCAAATGGAAAGGCTAGTCTTCTAGCTCTTCAAAATCAGACGTCCCCCAAACAAAAACTTGAGATGGAGAAATGCTATGTAACATTTATCCAAGTTCCTGTAAAAAAACCCTACTTAGCATACCCCCATTTCAAAATATTAGCACTTGTTCTGAGAATCATACCCTGTTGATATACTTACTGTATCATCATGAGCTAGGGTTTCTCTAAACCTCTGGCACTATAACATTTAAAAATGGAATACTATGGAAGAGGCTGACAGATTGGTGAGGTATACACACAGCAAAGGAACAATTTTGTATTACCACGTTTCCTCATCTATATAGGTATAGCCTTGCTTGTGGAAAATAGAAGCTTTAACACTCGGTGGTAAATTCTTCTGTGTACTTTAGCTTAGAGCAGTGACAACAGAAGCATCATTCTGTACATGGAGTAGGAAAATTCTTTTGTACCGTAAGAAAACTAGAATGTGCCGGTGCTTTCAAGTCAAGGTTAGGGGACCCCTTAACTATAGTAACAAATCAATCGGAAATGTGAATAAATGATTGATTCTTGCAGGTGTTAAGTGGCATAGATTAAGGAAATAAAGCTTCCAAAAACGCACATTTCTCAAACTTTCAAAAATTTAAAGTTATAATACTTACCATGTTTTGAGATTTTCCACTGGAATCGTGCATCTCTGCAGGGGAATGTATGCCCCCATCTGGGGGAGCAATCCAAACACTCTAATTTTCATTTTTGACTCTAAAGTAATTGGGGTTGATTCCAAATCCACAGACACTACTGTCACCCCTCATATGCTAATTATTTACTGAATAAAAAAAGCTTTCCCAGGAACTGGTATCTACCAAACAAAGACTATCAGACCTTTGACAATGACCCACATATTTCCAGGTACGGACAGCTGCACTGGAGAATCTGGACTAGCCTGAAGGCCACACAGGTCTCTTGGTCAGTGTTCAGTGAGGTTTTGTTTCCCTAATCCTAGATACAAGTAACTAGCCAATACTGTATGTTCCTAGGGGAAAAAAAAAAAAAAAGCATAACATTAAGACAAGAAAGTTGTCAGATAAGAACACACAACAAACGCAAGTTTCTTACAGAAAAACTAAAGTTGTAATCAATGCGCAAAATTCACAGTCAACATTGACTTTTAAATGTCAATGTTGGTTGGAAATATTCCAATGACCATAAATTTGATTTCTGGATTCCCTTCCTCCAACTATAGTTTAACCATATATTTTAGATCCATGAAAATTGGAAAAAGTTTTTGCTGGAACAACACTCACTGTAACATATAAAAAGAACTGGAGGTTTTGATGTATAACACTTATAACTTGTGCCTCATTCTGTGTATGTGGCTGTTTAACAAATGTTTTAGTCAGAAAGTAAGATTCAAAGAACACAGTAACTTCCTTTTTATATGTCTGCTTGATCAGTGTTAAACTGCTATGGCTGAAGTTTTATAGAACTATAACCTAAATGTTGTCCTTTTTGTACACATCTTTTCTATGCTTGTAAATCTTCATTCACTTCCATGTATGTATCATTTTTACTGTTACATTATTTTTGTTCAATAAATACTTTGTGATAAAAAGTGTGAAAAGGCAAGTGAGTTAGTTTGCTTCTGTTTACTTGGGAGGATCCAAATTTCACTTTTCCATATGGGTACAAGTTGGAAAATTAGTTTTGTCACCTAGCCATAAATATGGCATGCTTAAAACATGCTATAAGTACATACATACACACACACATACGTAATGCTTTAAAACATATTTAAGGAGACAAATGTTGAGGCTGAATCAGGGGGATGGGCCCCTCATCTTTAAATATGAAGTTCCATTCAGTTGCTCTATACTGAAATGGTGGAGGATAAAGAAAAAGGATAAGACCAACTTACCATTTAATCTTTTAGTTGCAGCTACAATCATACTCAGTTGTGCGAGACTGAAAGCTATTTCCTTAAGATCAGGCACAAGCAAAGGATGCCCTCATTTGTCACTTCTATTCAACATAGCATGGAAAGTTTTAACCAGAGTAGTTAGGAAAAAGGAATAAAAGACATCCAAATTAGAAAGGAAGGAGGAAAATTATCCAGAGAACAATGGCAGTAACATCAAAAAATAAGAAAATAAAATAGCTAGGAAAAATTTACTATGGCAAAAGACCTATACACACTGAAAATTAAAATTAAGAAGTTCATGATTAGAAGGCTTACAATATTAAGCCCACAACCTAGCACAATTCCAATGATATTTCCTCCATCCCAGAATTCAAACGAACTCTCAAGGAACCAAATCAATCTTGAAAAAAAGACAACCAAAACTGGTGAAGTACAAAGTTACAACTAATCAAAACATCATGCTACTGGGTAGAAAGACAGAGATGAAGACCAAGGGAGTCCTCAAGTCCATAATCAATTGATTTTCAACAAGATTGCCAAGATTATTCAGTGGGAAAAAGACACAAAAAGAGAAAACATTCCTAACTTCAGATTTGACATAATTTCTTAAATTAGCTGTAAGAACAGAGGTAACCAAAAAACTTGGACAAGTTTTTGATTTTAGTGAAGTCCATCAAAAGGTCATCAAGAAAGTAAAAGACCACCCACAGAATGGAAGGAAATAGTTACAAATTTTACTTCATCAGGGTCTAATTATCTAAAAAATGTAAAGTACTTCTACAATACAATAACAAATTTGGAGGATCCAATTTAAAAACAGGCAAAGGAAATAAAATGAAGACATTTCTCCAAATCAGATACACAAATATCCAACACCACATAGGGAGATGCTCAACACATCATTAGGGAAGTGGAAATACAAACCACAGTGAGGTATCACTTCACACCTGTTAGAATACCAAAAAAGTTATAACTGAATGTTTTGCAGGAAATGGCGAAGAAAAACTGGCACTTTATTATTGTTAGCAAAGTAAATGGTTTGCCCACTGAGGAACAATTTTGGTGGTTCCTCAAAAGAATTATCAAATGATCCAAATTCCACTCCCAAACACATAAAATCAATGAGAATATGGACTGAATCAGTTACATGTATGCCCATGTTCATGGTAGCATTATTTAAATAACCAAGAGTTGGGAAGAACACAGTATCCATGAAGAGGTGAACAGAAAAAGTGCTGTACATTATTACTATTCACCCACCAAAACAAATGAAGTTATATATATGCAACAATACAGATGAACCTATAAACATGCTGGATGAAATAGCACGTCCCACAAAGAACAGATATGGTATGATTTCACTTAATGAAATGTCTAGAAAAGGCAAGTTTAGAGAGATAAAAAGTATACTAAAATTTAAACCAGGGGGGTAGGATTGAGAGAAAATAGCAGGGTTATTTCCTAATGGAAGTTTCGGTTTGGAGTTAGGAATTATTTTAGAAATAAATATGGTAGCTGGTATAAAACACTATGAATGTAATACTACTGAATTGTATGGTAAATGTTATGTGTTATTTCACTACAACTTAAGAAAAATAGTAATAACAGATATGAATTGACTTGATTCCAAAAGTAGACTATTGTAACATGTTAACAAGTAGTCTTTCAAAAGCTAGGTGATAAAAGCATCCGATGGAACACAGCCACACCTTGTGTCTAGTGATGAATATATTATATATATATATAAATATATATTAACATCATCACTCAGAAGGGAAACAAAGAAGACATCCTCTCTTACCTTGAAATTTCAGTCTAAGATGAATCAAAAGTATTAAAGGTCCAAGTTTTCCGACTGTCAATTCTCTTCACTGTAAAGTTTTCATAATTTAAAAGGTCCTCAAGTATCAAAAAATACCAAACACCTTAGTAAAATGAGAAAATTCTCTAGGACTTTCCAGGAAGAAGAATTAATGTTACAACTAGAGGTACATTACTTTACCTTTTTTATGCAGGAATCAAACTTGCTGATAACTGTACCAAATCAAATATATCACCCATGGAGTAAAAGATCTGATGCTTTAGAATTTAGTGCTACTCTCTACAATTGCAGATTACTAAACGATCAGCATTGCATTCTCCCCCAAGAAAGAACTGTGACTCAACAAAACCACATTTTAACAACATGAAGATTTTGTTATTATAAATTTCAAAACAAAATGGAGGGATTTCCACATAATATTTATAACCTTCAAAGTACAATATTAATACATGTCTGTCAGTTAGAAATAACAGCAGTTTGTTAGGCTACAGGGTTTAACATAAAACCAATTTACAAATGTGAAAAGCAGTAGTGGTCCAATATTCACCATTACACATGAATCTTGTTTCTTCCAGAAATTTTTTAAAAAAAATTAAAATTTCAGTATCATGAAATATTAAAGTAACACCCCAAACATGCCACAATCACTATTCACAAATAAAGTTAAAAGGTAATATACAAAAATTCACTTAATACTGTTAAATAACAATAAACTACAAGATTTCCTGAACAGAAATGGTAGGACCCCTGAATGTTTTACAGTGAATGTCAGGAAAAAAATTAAGTTATGACTATTTCCATGATATATATGTCAAAAATTTTACATGACCATTTCAAAATATACCAATTAAGGTTTGTAGTTTGTAAGATGCACTAAACAAATAGTCCTTAAAAGTGAACACAAATGCTTAAGACATTGTTACTAACACCAAGATGTGTTTATGATGTTCAATAGATGCATAATTAAAACTGTAATATTTATTGTCTCTGGTAAACAGGTAATACCTATACAAAGTTTTAAAACAGTCATCTAAGTTCTTATTTCTCATTTATATTTATCATGGCTCATTTCAAAGACATATTACAGCTTTCAGCTGATTCCAAGTGAATATTATTAAAACATACATACAGACACAGCCCCCAAATGAAATAAACTGCTCCCCATTGAAGTATCATTCTTCTATTAAAAGAATGGCATTTGAAACAAATGAAAACAGGACTTTTCAGGTTTGAACTTGTTATGATTTAGTTTTAACTAAATCAAAGCACAATGTAAAATAGGTAAGTGCATTAGTACACAAATATTCAACAATACACAGTAAATATTTCTAAAATGAGGAAAGGTTAAAAATAAATAATTTTGGTGCTTTAATTTACTGGTATCTAATGTGAGATTCTCCAAATAGCAGGTATTCACTTGCTTGAATCAACTTCTGCATCCCATGCTTTCCTAAACATAATGTGCTTATCAATTTCATAGCTATTCTACTTGCCATTGTTCAATAAAAAATTATATAGCAGTAATGTAGAGTGTTCAAGATGGCTCACTTTTTTACTGTTAAGCAAAGCTAAATTTACATTCCAGGAAACATTGCAGTTTAATTTTAAAAACAAACAACAATGCAGCAGTAAAACAATTTGAGAGGAGCAAACAGATGCATTCACATATAATAAAGCCACTGCAACATCTTCAGGCATTCAACTGTTGTGTTAAATAAACAGACAGTAGTTATTTAGCAGCAATGATTCCGCAATAAATAATGCGCTGTGTTTCTCAGTCCTGCACAAAAATTGCAGCTACAGTTACATCAACAGTTGTAACCTACTGGCTCTAATGGCAGAAAAGACCTTAAAACCAACTGTACAAAAAAATTTGTCACACTGTGACAACAAATATAAAAACAATCTGTAGGTCTGAAATAAAAAGACTCCACTGTGAAGAGGACAGTGTAGACAAACGGAGATTCCAAGTCCATCAAAAGAAATAATTGCCTTCAATCTGAGTCCTTGATTGATAAGAAAGGCTGGGGGCTGGGCTTGAAACCATGTTATCAGACTTAAAAGAGCATGCTCTGTCTTCTGTTCTTCCCATGTCCTAAAATATAAAGTCATCTTATGAGGCATTTCAAGGTTCAGTTTTATCCCACATACAGTATTTGGTGACTCTAGGAAGCTAATGTTCCCACCACGGTAAGTGATCAGCACTGTCTTAAATGACCCTTTTGTTGATGGGGTCAGTCTACAGCTTCTATGCTTCGGAGTGATGAACCTGATGACTAGGGAAGTACGAGCTGTGTCTTCTGCCTCAGGTACCAAAGATGGTGTGTGCAGTGATCAAGCCAGGCCACTTGTAAAAGGTCTTTGTGCCATCTGCCGCTTTCAGGATCCCTGACTTGACTGAGTCAGATTTCTCTCTGAAGATTACTGAGCTGCCCACATCATACAGAAAAGTGAGTACGTGCAATGCTAAACATACACAGTGGTGGAATGCATTGTACATTAGTTTCACATCAATCATTTTACTGATCAACTTTAAACCAAAACCTTGGTTCCACGTTAAATTTCATGATCGACACGTGAAATGGTTTATGACAAACACACCTGTCTCTGGATAAGAAGAGTTTCGAAAACCCGGGTCCTTTTGCAACTGAATCTCTTTCAAACTGAATATTGATACACCTAAAATGCAGAGACAAAAGTCCTTAGGGGAAGAACATGATTAAAACAAACAAAACCCAACTATAGACAAAACATTTTCATTTATATTACATTTATAAAGTTATAGCCCTGTTAAAATGTTTTCCCCTTAGTCTCTCAAAATGTTTTGAGAAGAAACAAATCATCTTTCAGAACCTCTGCTTACATCTCTGCTTTAAATCATGCTCTGACACTTGTGTGTCTCTGAAAATAAACAACGCTGTTTATAGGGCTTGTCACAAAGTTATGAAATCCTCAAACTACAGATTTTTTACAGTAAACAAAGTATAGGTTTAACAAAACTGCCTACCTCAAACTATGAAACATGATAGTAACAATGAAATGCAAATATCATCTTAAAAAAGACTTGTAATTCATCTCTCTCACTTCCAATCTCTCCCAAAAAGGTAGTCTTTCACTAAAATAAATGCAGTTGAGTTCTAAATGAAAATTCTTAAGATTCTTACTTAAAATTAGCAAACCTCAATGAATGAATGATATTCAGTAAATGAGCATGAAGTAAACGAAAGCTTCTGGCAGATCAGTTTCCCAAATTTTTTTCTAATTCCCACTCACCCTCGCTCCATTTTAAGGTAAAATCTTAAAAATTATGAAAAAAAAATCAATCCATTACCTCAAGCACGAGAAATCAGCTGTTCTAGTGAAGACAGTATGTTCACCATTATCATAGGGACAGTAAAACCAGTGACCACAGTAGAGGAAAATAATTTTTATATCTTGACAAGGAAATCTACTTTCACAAGAAAACAACCTTATCTTAAGTTGTGCTTCATTATTCTTTGCCTGAAAACCATTTTTAACAACACTGAATCAAAGCAATCTAGGTGGGATCTCAGGAAATCTCTACCCGCAGAAGGCGTTTTCTAACTTAAATCCAGTAAGATTAATGGCCCATGTCTAAGTATTGTTGATGTCTTGTAAACAAATGGCAGTGTACTTAGGGTTAAGAGAAATAAAGCATAGGTAAATAGATACCTTCCTTTAAGGAATTCTGACCTAAATATTAAAAAAAACAAAAACAAAATTTTAGGCTTACAAACCAGGAACAATTCCTAAACCTGTAATTCACCCCAATATCCAAAAAATGGACAACAAAAAATGGTGTGGCAGTGGAGTGAGAAAACCCTTTAGAGTTTTTCTTACTTTCAGGTAGAGCATGTATTCTTGGTCCCAGGCTTCGAAAGTACACATGTTTCATAGCCTCTTCTGCTGAAACCCTTTTCTTAGATTCATACTGTGAAAAAGCAAAGAATTGCTTTATTAACTTTTTCTATAAAAAGTGTAAAACTAGGGTGTATAAATTGACATTTAGATCTACTTTTATCTTGGTCACTTAATACAATGATGGTGTTTCATAAGAACAATATAGACTACTAGGATACCCTCTAATTTGAGTTGCTATTAAGGTTATAGTAGTACTTGTATCTCAGTCCCAAATTTCAAAGGTAAAGCTGGATTTTACCCAAAAATTTAGGTTCCCCTATATTTTATGAAGTAATCAAATTATTTGACTTTTGGCGTTAATTTTGTTCATGAACACCAAAGAATCACTGGAAACAGAATCAATACCTTTACAGCAGACATTATTAAATTACCTATGCAATGCCCATTTTCCTGCATGAGATAATCTAGATGTTTAAAGTATCCGCACTTCCAATTCTAACCATGAGTCATAACTGTGCTAAGTTTATGCTAATTATGACAATTCTGCTCCCCAGTTCCCAGTCTCTCTTACAATGAGTGTTCTGGTCAAGGAGACTTAGGAAGAGACCTTGGAGTTTCTGGAAAAGCCTTGCTTTCCAGATACAAGAGGACTAATGTAGCTGATATAACCCTTATCCTCTCTCTTCTTCCTACTTTGAATGAAGGTAATGAATGGTATTTGAAGATGCAGCAGCCTGTAAGGTGGTAAATATAAGGAAAAGAAAAGAGAACATAAGAGAACATGAATTACAGAGAACATGGTCTTGAAACAGCTGATCAATGCCAGCAGCTGACTACTTTAGACTATTCCAGGTCAGACAAGAGACCTAGACCCACTGAGAAAGAAAAATAAAGAAATATATATTTACTTTAGCATGTGTCTTGAGCATACTAGATACAATACTATAAATAATATTTAACTGTCACAACATATTGAGGGAGGTATTATTCCTACTCTACACATGAAGAAACAGGCTTACAGAGCTTAAATACCCATGTAGCAATTATAAAACAAGATGCAATTTACCTGAAGAAATTTTGTTATCAACTCAATTCCTTCAGAGTCTAACCTAGAAGAAACAAAAAACAAGTCTGTTAGTCTTTTGTTTTTTATTCAGATACAGCTTATTTCCCAAGTATTTTAATTTGCTAAACTCAACTGTTCAAAAACAGGTACTTCTGTAGTTTAAAAATACTCAAACATGGGCTCTCCCTGGCAGCGCAACGGGTTAAAACACCACATGATGAAGCGCGCCTAAGCCACAGCAGCACCAGCTGGATCCCGGCCAGCTGACCCACACGGCGCGGCAGACCTCTCCTGACCCGCCCGCTGCTACCCGCAGCCGTGTATTTTGTCAATCTGCCTGTTCTGCTCCCCACTCTGTCCCTGGTGAATCCTCTCACCCACCACACCTCTGGCTTGTACCCCGGTTCTGTAAGCATAAATTAATCTTTTAAAAAAAATACTCAGGGGCCCTCCCTGGTGGCGCAGCGGGTTAAAGCACAGCACTGAGGATCTAAAGCCGCTTCCGCATGAGTTCGATCCCCGCCTGCCCTGGAGGTGACCACATGGCGTGGCAGACCTCTCCTGACCCGCCCGCTGCTCCCCTCAGCAGTGTACTTCGTCGATCTGCCTGTTCTGTTCCCCGCTCTGTCTCTGGTGAAGCCTCTCACCGCCCCCAAGCCTCTGGCCTGTACCCCAGTTCTGTATACACAAATAAATAAATCTAAAAAAAAAAAAAAATACTCAAATATGTTTTATCCTTAAAAAGACAAGAAACCATAAGTAAGTTGGTTTCAATTCAAAGTTTCAATATTCAAGAAAAAATTAATTATTGAAACTACAGAACATCCTTAAATCACCATTCTGCCTCAAAACCAAGTAACTTCTATAATTAGGGCAGCTTAAATAAACTGCAGCAATTTTTCCAACATTCCACTGAATGCAAAAGTACAAAAACAACATTTGCCTATATAGGTAAAAAGACACAAACAACCCCCAAATCTATCTCTGTATTTCAAGATAAATGCAGAAATGAGTCACGGAATTTTTACAGGGTGGTTTGCTGAGCATTCACTACTTGAGTCATAAGGTTCAATTTAAATATGCTTCAACAACTTCATAAAACTTAATTAAAAAGGGCCTCAAACCCAATGAGATAGCTGATAAAAATAATTATTGTGATTCATTAAATACAACAAAGAATAGAGGGTTTAGGGGCTATTTCATGGGACAATCTCTTGAGCAAATCACAGGTTCTTTTATATCTACCTTCACTTGAACAAACACAATTATAAATAATGAAGTATCCCAACCCCCACTCCGAGTACTTAGTGGGCAAGGTTGCAGCTCAGATATTTCCACGCTCTTCTAATACTTTGTAGTTTGACTTTCTGACAAAGAGCCACACTTCCTTGGACACAGTGATAGATCTAAGATCAGAGTATCTACTTTAAGAGCTTCAATCTTCTACAATGGACATTGTAATAGCCAAGCAAAATATAACTAAAAAAATAGGATTTATGCAACTTGGAAAAAAGTCATACACACACACACACACAAAAGTCCAGCACATATTATTTCTTTTAAGTACTTAAGATGTTATTAGTTGCTATGGTAACCCTAAAGCCATTAATCCCCATTATAAAATAATTTTGGTACCAGAATTGTTGTAATTCTTCCCTATCTTGAGAATAAATGTAATTAGAATGCATGTGCTATGTTGTGAGCAATATGAGAAGGTTTTTCATTAAAACAGACACTGGATTTAGCTGACATGGTGATGTACTTTTTTTCTTTTTTTAAATGAAGAACAAAAAAACTAAATTGAGAGGTCACCTATCTGTCACTGAAAATGGAGCATTTCACAAATAAAAATTTTCTGTTCAGGCCCTCCCTGGTGGCGCAGCGGGTTAAAGTACAGCACTGAGAATCTAAAGCCGCTTCCACATGAGTTCAATTTCCGCCTGCCCTGGAGGTGACCACATGGTGTGGCAGACCTCTCCTGACCCGCCCGCTGCTCCCCTCAGCAGTGTACTTCGTCGGATCTGCCTATTCTGTTCCCAACTCTGTCTCTGGTGAAGCCTGTCACTGTCCCTGAGCCTCTGGCCTCTACCGCAGTTCTGTATGCACAAATAAATAAATCTTTAAAAAAAAAATTTCTGCTCAAATTTTAATGGGGGCCATGGATGCATATGGGGAGGAGATCTGAAAGGAAACTTTAATTTAAAGGCCAACATTCAGAATATAAGAGGCTAGAAAGAGCTTATATTCTTCAAATACAAATGATGTTACTAGCCAAAATACTGAGGGATCATCTTGCATCAGAATGTGTTTATTTGTAACACTCTCTTAGAAAAACAAAAAAAAGAAACCTAAGTAAATACTGAATAATTTCCCTAGAAAGCAAAACCAATTTCATCCTAGTCTTCATGGTGTTTAGTAGATAAACAATGTTTTCTCTCTAGGAAAAGGAATGATCAATCTATAGAAACCCTAGAATTTTAAAATCTATATTTCATATTCATTATTTACAGAACAATTGTATGATTTACATATTTTAATTCTTGGTCACTGAATTACAAAATTAGTGTGACAGAGGAAAGAAGAAATTCAATTAAACAAGATCCTGAATGCTTAACTGTGGCTAATTATTCAAGAGACTTGAAAACATTGTTGGGTTCCCCCTTTTCACTTAAAGAAAAAATACCTGGGTGCATGGTTAATTAGAGGTTGTGGTTTGTATTTTGGAAAGTTGTAGTTCTTGAACTCATCATTTGAAGAAACACCTGGCCAAGTTTCCTGAGATGGAGTTCCTAAATTAAAAAAAAATTATGTATTTATAAATATATTTAAATGTTTTATATAAAAAATATTTAAGTAGGAAGGACTAAGCTTCTCAATGAAAAATTTACATTCAGTGAAGTGATTTGACTAAAACCAAAATGACAGAAATAGTAAACAAGTTATAGATTTTTTTTTGGACTATGCAATGACAGAAGATATGAAAACAATGGTGTCATTGACATTTAAACAAAAAATATTGCCTAATACATGGTAAAAATCAGTTTTCAAATACTAGTTCTCTTTGCTATTCTTCCCCATAAAGTCTTTATTGCAAAGGTAGAGCTCTGTAATGAAAAAGAGAAGTTACCTGGAGGGAACTATAATTATGCTAACTATAATTCTTATAGAAACAGCTATTAACATTAGTTTCAGTATCAAAGTTTAAAAATATATTTTTTTAAAGATTCCATCTTATCTAGTTAATCAACTGTAGGTGAAAAATCCCTGGAAAAGACTTTTTTCTATTACCTAGGAGTCGAAAAATTAAGTGTAGTTCATCTTCCACAGTGGATCCTGGGAACAGAGGTCTTCCAGAAGCCATTTCAAAGAAAATGCAACCAACACCCCTTTAAAATATATCATAAAACAAACAAAAGACAATGAGCAATCCATTTACATATGAAGCACAGGAATACTCAGAACCCAATTTTGTACTATCCTGCAAACCTCCTACAGGGATAGATTCAGATCTAACTAAACTTACTTGTTAACACTTAATCCTATTTGTCTACATTGCTGTACATTGATACATTTTTTCCAACTTAAAATGTCTAGCTCTCTTCTACAAGAATAACACAATAGTCATTTAATATGATGTGTGAGTAGTAGCTATGCAAAATGTTTTTAGCAGCTATAGAATATTTAAGTGCAGGCCCTCCCTAGTGGCGCAGAGGGTTAAAGCACAGTACTAAGAAGCTAAAGCCACTTCAGCATGAGTTTGATCCCCGCCCCATTGCTTGGCAGGCCTCTCCTGACCCTCCAGAGTTACTCCCCTTAGCAGTGTACTTCCTGGATCTGCCTGTTCTGCCCACCTGTCTCTGGTGAGGCCTCTCACAGCCCCTGCACTTCTGGCCTGTACTCCAGTTCTGTATGCATAAATAAATAATCTTCAAACAGACAAAAAGACTATGTAGACACTGGGTTGAAAGGGAGAGAGATTAGTAGAAGGGAAGAGAAATTAATGGAGGTTCAATGAATGAATAATGCCTTCTAGGTCTGTGTGAACACCCGTTTAGCTTAGCACACAGTATTAAAGAACTTAAACTCTAACAACTGTATAGGCACTTTAATTTTACTTATTAAAACATCACATAGAGGAAAAAAATGACAGAGCCATTATGGAAAGCAATACATTGTTTGGTGGGGTTTGTGGGGGGGGGCGGTTTGGGAACCAACAACCCCCACCCCAAAAACCAGCAACATAAAACTACCACATGATTCAGCAATATCATTCCTCAGTATATACCCAGAAGAATTGAAAAGCCGTGTTTCAAAGAAATATTTGTAGACCCATGTTCATAAAAGCAATATTTACAATAGCCAAAAAGGTTGAAGCAACCCAAGTAACTACCAACGGATGAATAAAAATGTAGCATAAATACACAATGATTACTCTTTTGACCATAATATTCATTTGACCTTAAAAATGAAGGAAATTGGGGTTAAAGCACAGCACTAAGAAGCTAAAGCCACTTCTGCATGAGTTCAATTCCCGCCTGCCCCGGAGGTGACCACATGGCGTGGCAGACCTCTCCTGACCCGCCCGCTGCTCCCCTCAGCAGTGTACTTCATCGATCTGCCTGCTCTGCTCCCCACTCTGCCTCTGGTGAAGTCTTTTGCCACCCGAGCCTCTGGCTTGTACCCCAGTTCTGTATGCACAAATAAATCTTTAAAAAAAAAAATGAAGGAAATTCTGACACATGCTATATGTGGATGATCCTTGAAGATATTTATGCTAAAGGAGATAAGCCACTCACAAAAGAACAAATATTGTATTAATCCACTCATATGAGGTACTTAAAAATGTCAAATTCAGAGACAGAAAGTAGGATGGTAGTTATAAGGGCATAAAAGGAGACGGAAAGGGGGAATTGTTTAGTGTGTATGAAGTTTCAGCCCTGCAAGACGAAAAAGTTCTGAAGATGGATGTGGTGACAGTTGTACCACAATGTAAATGTATTTAATGTGAGTGAGGTGTACACTATAAATTGATTATGATAGAATTGTTCCGAGGGAAAAATTGCCACCACAGGCTAAGTTGTATCAAGGAAGGATTTGTGAAAACACAATTTGAAGGATCCTGAGCACAGGGCCCTGTCAGAAAAGCAGAATAGGCATTCTGGATAGATGGACTGATATGAGCACAGGAGCAAAGTTGGGAAAAGTGCAGGTTATTTCTGAGATAGAGTAGTCCACTTGGCAGTAAATGGCTAGCACATGTGTAGAGTGGTATAGTATAAACTGAGATGAAAAAGTAATCTAGACATATTTTACAGACATCATTAAGTGTAAAGAACTGTACCAACTGAGGCAATGAATGGGGAAGGGGCAGAGGTGCTTTAGTAAGGGATTGTGGTGACTAAAGGGGTCCCTGAGGAAGTGCTGTAGCTCATTATTTTGAGACAAATATCGAGCAAATGGATTTTTGTGAGCACTAAATGACAGAAATAATTTTATATAGTATATACTAAATACTCGTACTTGTTCATTTGGTCTTAACATTAGTCATGAAACAGCCTTTTAAAGTAGTTATTGTTGCTATTCCTATTTCCGTAAGTGAGGAAAGGGAGGCACAAGCAAATAAAGTTATTATACAGCTATGAGGTGCAGAACTGAGATAATCTTTCTCATGTGCCACAACTCTTAACCATATCTTATACTTTGAAGTTTTAAAGTATACCTCTTTAAAAGTGAAACATTTATCAGTATGCCATGGGTATTAATGGCTACATTCTTTCAAAACTATAAATGGCATTAACATATTTACCACATGTCAATCTGTGTTGAGTATTCTGAGGAACCAAGAAGCACATCAGGAGGCCGGTACCACAGTGTGACAACTTCATTTGAGTAGGTCTTTGTGGGAACTGACTTGGCTCTGGCTAGTCCTACACAAGAGACAGAAAACAGTCAAGAAATAGCTGTAAAGACTATCCCAGTCCTTATCTTCACCATGACAAGTCACAAGGATGTCTGAGATGGCAACTTTGTAGGTTCCTGGAATATCAAAATTAGTTTTATGAAATTTTTTGAGTGTACATGGTATTGGATGTATCAGGCAAACCCTCACATAACTAAGTGAAATAATAATTCCACAGTCAAAGACTGTGCTTGCTTTTTATGCATGTGAATTTACCTGCTACAGTGTCCAGGTAATTGTAAACTTGGTATTTTCCTTATGTTCCTGAACCATAACACCAAATTTACTTCCTAGCTAAACTTAAATTGATACAAATTTGGCCAATGGCACTGGGATAAACAACATTATTACTTATAACTAGAGGGTCTTGTCACTTTCTTAATCTGACTACAGCTTTCATTTGCTATTCCCAATTTCTATCAAAAGAAAACATGATCCAATTGATTTCACTGACATTTCCTTGCAGAAAACCATTTAGAGAAGTTTTCGAATTTAATCCCTGGAATACGTTATACTATTTCTACCAGTTCCCTGAGCTATACAGATATTCCAAATGCCTGTCAATTTCTTTATCATATCAAAAACAAACAAAAACAAGCAAACAAAACCATGTTTTCTCTTAACCATGTTAAAAGTTTTTAAATATTAAGAAGCTATAAAACTCAAAATGACAGATCCAAATTTCCAAAATCTAATATTTGCTTGAAAACTCAAATTTTATTATTGGCAAGAAGTATTTTCAGTTGTGTTCTTAAAATGTCAGATTCAACTAATTTATCTTCAAGAAAACATCTGTCAAATACCAAATACAAATGACCAAAATTTGTGGACCATTTTTTCAAGCACATAAAGTCCCTTGAAAGGGGCTACTTCAGTTTGTACCCATGGAGACATACAGCACTTTCCTGAGATAACCACAGCATTTCTGTGTGCTCCAAATTGTGTTTCATGACTAATACCCATTTCTTCACACAAAATAGTAAAAAGTTATATACTCAAATTTAATAAATTGGACTGCTCCTTGAAACACTGTTAAGAGTAACAGCCTTTTCCCTACAAATGCATAGTCATGAAGAATATAATGACCACAGTCATGAAGAATATATAAGAATTTAAGTGATGGAGGGAGGAATGCAAGGGAGGCATCACAAGACTGAGTCGCACAAAGGGGACAGAAAGAAGGGGCCAGTGCAGCAATCCACACAGCCATAACATCAAGGTCCTCAGGCACCAAAGCCCTATGTCCAGGATGTCTGGGATGCCTGGATGTCTCCAAGAGGTCCCAGCAGATAACAGACTGTTGGGGGCTGTGCCTGAAGCTTAGACCCAAAAGGTAAAAGATAAGGACCTGGAGACGAAGCTCATCAGGAAATCTCTGGTCCTCTCAAGTTCTACCCAGGCTCACAAGGAGTGAGCACCGCCCAGGGAGGCACTGCCTATATCAGGGCAGTCTCTGCACCAGCACGGGGCAGCTGTTCCACTGCCCACCTGTGACTATGCAGGTGCTTCTTTCCCTTTTCTATCTGTTTCTAATAAACTTACTCTTTAAATATAACTGAGTCTCTGTCTCATGAAGAATCTTGCCATGTGCCACTGAAAGGGGCACTCTGGTGAAACCTTTGCCAGAATGAACCCAAGTACCCTGAACTCAAAATACGACATCATAAGTACACTATTAAGACACTACTTTTCATTCATACTAAGCACCAGTAGTTTTATCCCTTAATGTTTTTGGGACATCAGAGCAAATACTAACACAACGAAAAAGGTAAATAAAGACATGCCTCATCATACTGCACTTCATATGCTGGTGTTTTTGTTTGTTTGTGGTAAGGATTTGTTAACTCTGTGCAACAGGTGTATTAGCAACATTTTCCATAATAGCATATTATCCTCCATCATGTCTCTGTGTTACATTTTGGTACTTCAGTTTTTCATTATTTTATCTACTAATGGGATCTTTGATAGTACTGCATACCCCTCCACTAGCAAAAAGATTACAACTCACTGGAGCCTCAGCTGATGATTAGCAGTCTTGTTGAATAAAGTATTTTTTAATTAAGGTATGCATATTATCTTTTGGACATAATGATATTGTGTATTCAACAGACTACGTTATATATAAGCATTATTTTCGTGTGCAATGGGAAACCAAAAATTGAGACTCACTTTATTGTAAAGTTCACTTTTATTAGGCTGGTCTAGAACTGAACGCAGTACCTTGAATGTGTGCCTGCAACATCTGGCTAAATTTTGATGATATATTTAGTGACCCCGAGAAGGTTTCAGAAGCTTAACTGCTTATGGAATGCATCTGAGAACTGGTATCACTTAGTATTCAGTAACATAACACACCCACCAAAGTTCTGTCAGTATCTCATTCTATGGGCCACAGAGAAAATTACCAAATGCACATAAAAGTAATCAGTGACAAATATCTCAGACATTTCTTACCAAAATCTGCTAGCTTTAATTCCCCTTTTTCATTAATGAGGAGGTTCTGTGGTTTCAAGTCTCGGTGCAACACCTTTCTTCTGTGACAGTATGCTAATCCACGCAGAATTTGGTACAAAAAGAGCTACAGAAAAAAAACAAATTAGTCTCAGATGAGTTATACTCTGACATAAGCATAGGCTACAGTAGTAGAAAACCAAATGACCTAGAAGAGTAAAAAAAAACAACAAAAAACCAACACATTTTTTAAGTAAACAGTCTTTTCCTGAAATTTTACAATTTATTATTCTGTTTAAGCCATAGACTTGTTTTTTTTTTTTTTTTTGGTCTAACAAGTGTCTTTGAAAATGAATGAAATTAAACATTATTTTGTTAGCAATAATTCATTTATTACAGAAAATGACTTAAAATATCCTCAAAAACTTACAGGACTCCTAGAGTTACAGCTTGATTTGGAAATCTTGGCAAAATAAATAACCACACTTTACTACCCCTTCCAATCTCCTCAAACCCCCCCCCCAAAAAAAAAAAAACTGATCTGGAACAGACTTTAAAATAAGTCATCAGAATTGGTGGTTTTATTAAAATTCTGAGGTGTCAAAGAGAATGGCACAGCATAGCTCTGGTAAATTAAGTGCTTTTTTAAAAATAAACTAAACCAGCTTCTATCACCCACCTCTTGGGTACTTTACTTTCAGCACCTCCTACTCAGCTTTCAAAATCTGCTGTGATTCAGAAAAGACAATTAGCACTATAGTGCTCTGAATGACTCTTTGAAAGAAGGCTACTGGCAGACTTTTTTGTTGTGGAGTTTTGGTGGAAAGGGGCAAACACAGATGGTCTTTGGGGTTAACAAAAAGGAGCCTCAAGTCAGAGGATTAAAGAGTGTACCCTCAATTTACCTGTAAGTGAAGAATTGAGAGTAAGCCAAGATAGTAAATAATGGGCCTGAAGTTCTAAAAAGTAGCAGTGTTCCTACAATTATTTATGATTTGAAAACTCAAAAATTACTATTTTCACCTACCTGTTTTTCATTTCTGAAAAACATAAGGGCTATTTAAGCAATCAATAAAATACTTTAGCTTTAAAGGTAATAAACTCAAATCTTTGTCAAAGTTTGACATTTAAGATCTTTGTCTTCTTTCCAAATTGCTAATATGAAAACAGGAAAAACAAACCACAAATACATACAAAATAAGATTCACAAAACTCTGCTTCATAACAAAATGTAAAAAATGATGAAAATAATTCTCATGAAAAAATGTATTTGGAAATACATGTAAAACCCTACTGTAGAATTCAATAATTTGTTATCTGATGTTCTAAAGCTGTCCTCTCTTTAGTAAAAGAAACAAGCTCTCCTTTGTATCCTCCAAACCTACTGTTTTAAAAAATTTGTAGTCTAAAGTCACTATCGACACAATTGTAAGGGCCTTAAAGGCACAACTGGGCAAGCCTACTTCCAGAACAGTTTTCACAAACTGCTGACTAAGTTTAAATAAATCTGTTCACTAAATTTGTGCATAATGCTCAGATAAAAGAAACCTACTGTAAGAATTCAACTAGATCAAACATTTTTATTTGATTTTATTTATGGGTTTCATCTGGCACTGATTACAATGCCAAACTTCTGTCATTACCTGCATGTTTAGATATGTACATAAGTAAAAATAATGATCTTACTTCTCTTTCTGACAGTATAGATTGGCATTTTCCACCAGATTTTTGCAAAAACTTGTTTTTTGTGCTGTTCAGTAGATTAGTACCTTGAAACTTATTGTTTTATAATTAAGTACCATTTTAAATGTTAGCTGAATTTGCCATTTATCATTTGTATTTATTTTAATCACTTGGATTTTGAAAGTAAGTATTACGTAAAATAAACTACTGAAAATGTCTAAGAGAAAATTTTGAATTAGACTAGTTTTGAGGCTGGTAAATATACTGCAGCATAGTTCATCTATGTGTAGTGTTTGGCTTTTTTTAATAGTTTTCAGATGTGGGTAAATTAAGGTATGTATATAAACTACATTACATTCTAAAGTCAAATTCCATCTTTCACCAAACACCAAAAACGACACACTAAAATGTACCTTTACGTTGTGCATACTCATGATGTTTCCACAGTCATCCATATACTGCTTTAGGTCTTTATCCTGAAAAAACATATGGCACTTTAAAAATTGATACATATATATATACACACACACCTACATATATGTTGTTTTCAGAAGGCATTGTTGATTTACTTAAATAGTATTCAACTAAGTAATACTAAGCTGTTTTTAAAATCTAATTTACTGTTTTATTGAATACTGAATTCATACTAAATACTTACCAGGTACTCAAAGACCAGGGTCAAAGATTTATCTGTGTGAACAATGTCATGCAAGGTTACTATGTTTGCATGTTTTAGATCCTTTAATAGTGAAACTGCAAAAGCAAAAAGAAAATCTAATTATTTAATCTGTGGCAGCCACTCTATAATATCTAAAGTTTAATATATGAACTAATTAAATTTTAAGAGTATCTTAAGTTTAAATTTTTTTAAAAAAAGTTTTATTTAACATAGAGACATAGAAACAATGGGCCAGAGATGTGTGTGTGGGGGGGGCCTGGGGATTGTGGTTAGGGAGAGGATTACCAGAGACAGCAAAACAGGCAGATCTACTGAAACACACTGCTAAGGGGAGGAGCAGGCCCGACAGGAGAGGTCTGCTGCACCATATGTGGATTAGCTCTCTGGCCAGGATCCAACTCAGGTTGGACCATAGTGATAGTGCTGAGATGTAACCCCTATGTCACCAGGGAGGACCCTCAAAGTCATCCTAAGCTTAAAACAACTCACCAAAATTTATGGTAGAAATCTTAATAAAATTATTTTTTTTCTTTTATGGTTCTGAATTGTCCCCAAGTTACAATAACATTCTCCATTATCATTATCTTTTTCCCCACCTCAAATGTTAAGACTACTGAAACTTTTAGGGTTAATGTAGAAGAAACACACAAGAAATATTTTCCCTTTCCAACTGCTGATCAATTATTCAAATGATTTTCTGGATAATCTATCTTCTATCTTCTATGATACAAAACATTTACATTATTTACATACCAATTTGCATTTTGCTCTTCCTCCACACACCTTTGTAAAGTTTCTGGTACAGAATATTTGCCCATGGCAATTTTTTCTGACTTCATAATCATAATAAGCTATCCAATAATTCCTTTCTGTTGAATACTTTGGCTTTAGATGTTAGCTTACATAAGGTCTAAGTATATCTTCCACTCAATATTTTTATATTTGAGGTCTTTTTTTACTTACAAAAAAAATGAGCTGGTATTATACTGCTTTTGTTTTAAAGTGTTCTACTTGAATTTCACAATATATTTTGCTTGCAAAGATCAAGTTATACCTTCTCTTATAGCTGTGCATGGTGCACCTTCTTCATGTTCCAACCGGATCTCTTTTAATGCCACCAAATTCTCTGTCAACTTACTTCTTCCTTTATATACTGTTGCATATGTACCCTATAAAATATTTTTGAAAAACATATCAAAGGTTACTGTTTGAGTCTCTACTTATGCCATCTATACAATAAAGTACTACCTGAATATCTCAGCCACATTAAATTACATTTTGTAAGGAAAACACCACAATGATTAGTCTTGGTTTTTCTATAGCCAAGAGAACTTTCAGTTTCCACATAAATAGCTTCCAGAATAATTTATAATCAACCCTTCAGAGTGCCTCAAAATTATATAAACATAGGGAAGAATACTTAATTTACTTTTTATACTTTGTATCAGATTAACATTGGAGTATTATCTTTAGAATCAAAGATAATGCTTTATCTGCAATAGTATGTAGAGATTAAGAAAACTAAGTATATCAACTACCATTTAAAATGCAAATAACATTATTATATTATAAAAATGTAGTTTTCAGAATCTTCAGAATTTCTTAACATTATCTATCCTTCAAAAAATATAACAATGTATACATGAAATTACTTCTTTCAATATTAGGAAACCCTGAAATGCTTAAGGCTTCACTGTTAACTAATTTTATCTTTTTTTTTTACCCTTTCTCCCCTTTGGAAGTAAGACTACTTCAAAACCAGTACCATTAGCAGGCCAAAGAAAACCAAGGCCTTATTAGCCAAGTATCACCTTAACTTTTAACAAGATGTATCTTTATCAGAGGCAGTACTTTGATTTTTCACAGGTTTGAACTCCTGCAATTTCCCATAGGAGAGCAGGCAGGAGACTGCAGGAGGCTAACTATCAAATGCCTACCAAGAACGCATAATAATTTGTGCTTTAGTAAAGGATTATTAGGCTATAAAAAAGGATTCACTTCCTCAACAAACTGATGGGTTAATGTTAATAATCGAAGGTTTTCATCCCTCTAACATTTGGTTGCCTTTTCTGAAAAAGATACAATCTTTTGAACAGTAGTGTTTACATTAATTTTTCCAGGTTTGCAAAAACTGAACTAAGAGAGTCTGGATAATGAACAACAGAAAAAAATCATATGTGTTTGAATCATTACTTACCTCTCCAAGCTTTTCCAATTTGATGTAGGTTTCCATTTTCCCAAACCCAATTTCTGACTGAAAATAAAAAAAATATATTTTTCCCTCAATTTCTGAAACTCTTCCATTCTAAATATTATCTTGGAATCGAGAAATCTTGATTATAACTAAATTATAGTATCTGTCAAGTTTTCAAAATATATATAACTAACATTGGAACATTTAGTGGTTAAAAAACATCAAAGATTGGCCCTCCCTGGTGGCGCAGCGGGTTAAAGCACAGCACTAAGAAGATAAAGCCTCTCCCGCATGAGTTCAATTCCCGCCTGCCCCAGAGGTGCCGCCCTCTCCCGACCGACCACTGCTCCTCCCAGCAGAGTACTTAGTCCATCGGCCTGTTCTGCTCCCCACTCTGTCTCTGGTGAAGCCTCTCGCTGCCCCTGAGCCTCTGGGCCTGTACCCCAGTTCTGTATGCACAAATAAATCAATCTTTAAAAAAAAAAAAATCAAAGATCACTATTAAACCTGATGAGCCATCTTTTACATAGAGCAGTTAACATTTTGATGAAAAGACCCTGACTCTAAGATACCAAGCACATTTTAAGATTATAAAAATTTTATAAAAGATGAGTACATGATTTTCTTTTTGACAAAAATCACAAAAGAAATAAGTTTTCTTCACCAACTTCGAAGTTTTCTAAGAAACATGCAAAGAATAAAGTGTTATTTGTTTCAGGCTTTCTAATTTAAAAATAATAAAAACAGAACATTAATATATTCTGGTAAACTTAAAAAGTAGTCACCAAGTGGTATTACTGAATGACTGAAAAACTTGTACTTGTTCAGGCCTTTTGTTCTATTATACAGTGTTCCCCAAATAAATTTCAGTTTAAAAAAATTGGGTTTGATGGGATGCTGCCCCAGTGGCTTAGAGATTAAGTCTTGGCACTACCACCTTGAAGGCGCATTACAATGGCCTGAGTTCAATCCCCTGCCAGGGAGCTGACCCACATGGCACAGCAGACCTTTCCTGACTTGCATGCTGTTCCCCTTTGCAATGTATTTCAGTGGATCTACCTGCCTGCTCCCCACTCTGTCTCTGGTGAATCCTCTCACCAACCCTGCACCTCTGACCTGTACCCCAGTTCTATGTGCACAAATAAAATACTCTGAAATTTTTTTTAAATTAAAAAACTGGTTTGGAATCATCACATACCACCCACCCATGTATTGTTCAATATGATTCAAGATGTTCAATTCACACTTTCCAGTAACAATAACTGCAGAATAATAAAGTAAAACTGTAACAGACAACACGAATAATCTTTAGGCTTATGTCTCTTTAATAGGCCCTTTATATAGAATCTTAATTTACTCCATTTATAGGATAATTGTGAATGTCGCACAAATTATGATGAAATAAATTTATTTTCTTCTACCTATCTCAAAAAATGAAGTGCTTAAATTCACAAGTATAGCACTACTTTTCTTTTGCCATGAATGTTAAGTCTATGTCATAGCTTTTACAAAGGGAAAAAAACTATCGTGACAAAAATGCTAAGGCTTGCTTTAAAGAGTGGTTTGAGTGGCTTAGAAGTTCAAGATAATAAAGATATTACAGAGATTACTATACATATAAAGTAAGGAATAAACTGTAGAGTGCTTCTAAATTAATGGGTCACTCTTCAGAGAATGCCATTTAGCATACACTAAAATATGCTAGAACTCTGCTTTAAGAAAAGAAATACTACACTATATCATGAAGTTGAATTTGAATATTTAATCTACGAAATAAGCAACAGTGCTGAATTCCACCCATGTAGGCAGAGAATTCAAAGAGTTCAATCACAATAGCCAATTGTCTGTCAAAAACTAATTCAAAGAATAAAGTGTATCCCACTAATTTTAATAATTTCCAACTTCGAAGATTTAATAATTATATTCAGATATTGCTTCCTGCATCCTGAAAAACTTTAGGAAATTTTGCTTGCATTTGTATTTGCTGAACATGACAAGACTAACAACAGATATAAAGGCTAGTTTGTTGACATGCTCTCCTACAGAAATTATTCAGAGGTCAGAGGACAAAGCTCATCTATTCAACATTTATTAAGCATAATGCTAGGTACTGGAGAAACAGCGAAGGCAACAGGATAAGATTCCAGATTCCTCCCTCAATGGAGTCACAATTTAGACTCAGTTCCACCTTAGATTATTTTAGAGTATTTAAAAAAAATCATAAAGATAGAAATGATAGCTAGGGGAATAAAGGTTTGTATTTTAATGTAACAGTAAAACTCCCTTAATTTTGCTTTCCAAACAAAAGTATTTCTTTATGATACTTCATTGCTCCAAGAAAATACTTGGCTTCTTGACAGCCTCAAGCAAATTTCTCTGTTCATATGGGTTCTTAGAGCATATGTACAAGAAAACTTCTTTTAAAGTAGAAAATCAATTATAATTTACAATATCTTTCAATCTAATCCTTCCATCTACTCAGCTTAAGTGGTACTGAGTATTATGAAAAACTTGTTAATTACTTTGGCTCTGGCAATATCATAGCATAGTTGTAAAGATGTATTAACATGGTGGCAATGCAGTTCTAAGTAGGCTTGCAAACAAATGATGTATACACAAAAGTTCTACAGATGCCATTCTAAAAATGAATGTTTATGTAAGAAACACTGGTGGCAAAAGGAGATTTTTCACCCCAAACATCCATTTGCCTACTTGTGAGACTTATTGCACTACTGTTACTGATACAAATGTATTCTATCCTTAGATGTAAGGGGGACAGGAAAGCATGAGAACTTCTCATTTTATTTGGTCAGCTAGTCTTACTAAATTGTTACCCTCATAATGATAAGACTATGATGTATATATAATACATCAAAGGTAAGTTAAGTTGTGGGTGGTTTTCGAACCTCACTTCCATAACCTATAATGTTTTTATTATTTCTGAGACACTGATACCTATTTTCTCACCTACTCTTAGAAACAGAAAAAGACTACAAATAATCTGTATTGGTAAAGATATAACTAAGGAATTCAACACTAAATGTTTAGGCAAAAGTAGTTCTCATAGTGCGTGGAATCTGAAATATCAATATAATGAAAACAAATTTTCATACACAGACTTTCAGTCTACTAAAGTCACACTGAACATTCCCACAAAACTTCCACTGGGTGTGTCATCACTGCAACAGCACAACAGTGGTCAAATGATCCTTATCTATTGGTATGATGTTTCCTCCACTTAAAACACCCTGAACAAATTCCTACCTAACTTTGTACAGCCAGTTTCAACCTATATATCTTTTGAAAACCTGTGATATACTAAGACATTTTACTTGCTTGTCTCTCTTGCTTTCCTGTAGCACCTCATATGCACCTGAACTATGACTACAACTCATCTAAAGAAATCCTCACATATGCAATCACCTGATTTTATGTCAAAGGTGACATTGCAACAGCAAAAGCTATTCTTTTAGTAACCACTTCTGGTCACTTGCTACATGCTAAGAGAATGTACCAATAAGACACGACTAACAACGGTCTTTTATACAAAATGCATAGAGAATTCCTAGAACAATATAAAAAGACAAAATGGAAGAGACAACAGACTTGAGCAGTTAAGTTTTGCAAAAAGAGGATCCATAAACATTAAAAAAGGCGTTTGACTGAGTCATAAGGAAAATGCAAAATAAAAATGTGATGAGACAGTATTATATATTCACCAGAAAAGTTAAGATTTTAAAAATGGGGAGAGAAGAGACAATATAAAAAATTGGCAAGGAATATTATCACACATTGACGAGTATGAACTGTATAGCCACACTAGGAATTCTTTGATTGCATCTAGGCAAGCAGAACATATACATACAGTCTGTATGTTTATATACAGTTCCATTCCATCTCTAAAGTATGTACCCAATTCCATTCAATATCTAACAATTCCATTCCTAAGTATGTACCCAACAAACTTACATATGCTAACCAAAACCCATGTACAGGAATGGTGATAGAAGCAACACAACTAAACAATGGCCAAAAACAAACAATTCAACTGTAAATGCCTATCAGTAGAAGACTGGATATGATAAGGACAAATAATTATAAATTTATGAACCACCTAGATAAAACACAAAACAGAAGCCAACCCCCAAAAGGATACACATCATATATGTCCAGTACATTGGAATACATACTGTGCAGCACATATATAAACTTGTGTAACAATGCATTTAAACAATTTAGATTCCTAAGTATAAAGTTTAAAGTTCAAATGAAAATAAAACTATCAAAAGCATTTTTAAAGTGGCGTGTATACAGAAATGAGGATTTAAAAAGTCTTTCTAGATCTTAAAATGTACTATAATAATCAAAACAATGGGAAACATGGATAAAAGGAGTCTTTGATTTTGGACTCTGGGATAATGTTTACAGTTAAAGAGGAGACAAAAAGCAAACTGAGGAAGCAAGACAGGATTTCTGGGATTTTTCAAATTTCCTTTTTTAGTGATCTCAATATTGGTTACACAGGTATATTAACTTTGAAAAAATAAAATATTAAAAAATTTCTATTCTTAGAGAATACAATTATGGTTTATGTACTTATCAATACATCTACCATATGGTAATGTATTTGGTACAGCTAGCATTGACTGGATGGCAATAAATATATTAAGTTTACCAAAATATAATATAAAATAGTGTAAGTCATATTCAAACAGCCATCTTTAAACTCTTATGAATGAAAAACACAAAAGCCAAAAAAATAAAATTAGTTATTCAAAAATTAAATATAAAATTATAAAATACTTACACTTAGAAAAACCAAACATTTGATGGTGTAGGTATAAGAGACTAAATACGGGCCCTCCCTGGTGGCGCAGCAGGTTAAAGCACAGCACCAAGAAGCTTAAGCCACTTCCGCATGAGTTCGATCCCCGCCTGCCCCGGAGGTGATCCACATGGCCTGGCAGACCTCTCCTGACCCACCCACTGCTCCCCTCAGCAGTGTACTTCGTCGATCTCCCTTTTCTGCTCCCCACTCTGTCCCTGGTGAATCCTCTCACCCTCCACATCTCTGGCCTGTACCCCAGCTCTGTATGAATAAATAAAAAGAGACTAAATACTTACCAAGGAAGCTCGACGTGACCTTCGGCTCATTGGTTGATCAAAGGGTGGACTGTTTATCTGTAACTTCTCAAGATATCCATCAGGTATTCTGATATCTGCAGGCAGTGATAATCGCTTATTTAAATCCTTTAAAAAAAAGGGAGAGAGAAAGGAAAAGAAGATATTGATAGGTAACTTCAAAGAAAGACAAGGGCATCTGAAAGTTGGATTCTTAACTTCTTTATTATTTCTTAGTGATAAGTAACTGTATTGCAGTTGTAGTGTTACCTATTTTGATTATATATAATATATACACACAAGAATATACTATAAGCAAAATGTATATAGTTTTTCATAAATGGTACCCTACAACCCACTTATTTCATTTTAAGGTAAATTAGATTCAGAATTCTTTTATTTCAAAATATGTTCTTTTTTTTCTGAAAAATTCATTTCTACAGTATATGCTAAAGTGACATTCATAATCAACTTATGCCACTGATGTTATGTATTATATTGACAAAGAGAATCAAAGAAGTTAATTATTTTACATGAAGACATAGTTTGAATGCTTTACAGAGATAATTAGGTATGATGAACTACAAAGAAAATGTTTCCAAAATGTAACATTTGTATTTTTCACAAAATAAATATGAAGCATCCAGATGAATCTCATAAAAAATAATTAAACTCATGTTTTCTAAAAAGAAAAGTTTGCTAACGTAAAACACTGGACTTCCAGAATTTTTGAAAATTCACATTTCATTTTATAGAGAGCCCACACAGTGTTTTGCAGAATATTAAATATAATGAAACTGGCCCTCCCTGGTGGTGCAGCGGGCTAAAGCACAGCACTAAGAAGCTAAAGCCAGTTCAGCATGAGTTCAATCCCCACCCCAGAGGTGACCCACAGGGTGTGGAAACCTCTCTTGACCTGCCCGCTGTTCCCCTCAGTAGTGTACTTCGTCTCTCTGCCTGTTCTGCTCCCCACTGTCTCTGGTGAATCCTCTCACCGCCCCTACACCTCTGGCCTATACACCAGTTCTGTATGCACAAATAAATAAATCTTTAAATATAATGAAACTATGTTTGTCTTACGATACCAAATAATTGGAAAAGAGAAAATATTTACTACTCTTCAAAAATGCAAAGAAACAACTTTCTTACAAGTGTCTTTTACCTATTTGAAAATGTTCAAAAAGGCATTCTACTCTGTTTTATGTGTGCATTTACATACACAAGCACAAATAGAGGAATATTCAAATTTGTTAAATGGTTACCTCCATTGAGATCCGTCTATGTATACGATTTCTAAGACAAACACCAGTAGGTGACTGGACTTCATCAGATGATGTCCCAGAAGCTTGGTCACTCTCACCATCTGAGCCCATTTTTAAATTTTCATGAACAATATCTATAAAAGAAAATGAAACATTATCTGACCTGCCCTACTTATATGCTACTTAATTAGATCACACAATCTAGTATCACTACAGATAATAGGTAGACAGCCAACACATAAGTCATTAGCATAAAAAGGTTTTACATTCTGGGTGTCATAAGTATGTGGCTAAGGTATCAAAACAAAGTGGTCTTAGGAGATTAGTAAGAAATCCTTTTATAGTTTCAAACTAAGAAAATAATCAAATAATTATCAAGACTTGAACAATAAATTACAGACTGGAAATAACACTTAAGGATTATTTAGTCACTTCTCTCCTTTCCCAGATCTGAGAACTAAGAATTTGAAAGATTAAATGACTTCCACTGTTCACATAGTTTACAGGCAGAGCTAGAATAGAAACCTGGGTTTTTCTGTTTAGCCTTTGTTTAGCATTCCTCTCACTAAATAATGTGTCACTGGGTCTATGACCAAATAAGCGAATTCTTTGAATATTGTTTTTAAAGATTTAAAAATAAAAACCTGGTAAGACAGTTTCCTCCAGCCCCAGTCCAGTGTTAAATATAAAGCAACAATTCAAAAGTTATTCACTGAATATTTATTTTGTACTAGAACTACAAAAACCAGTTTATGATTGCCAAAAATCTGTTGGAAGCAAAAACATTAATAAAATTACAGTGGAAGAACACACTCAGAGATTTCAAAAGAAATTTTCTAGAGCCATCTGAACAAAAATTAACTTGGCAGCAAAAGTCAATGCATTAGTGACTGATTCTTAATCTGATGGTATCTAACCACATGAGGCCAAGTATTATTTTCTGTCACATTATAAAATCTCAATGATAATTTATCTATACTTTCCATTTCCAGAAAAATCTGACAATCCTTCTACACGTGAAAATATAACACTTTAATGTGTATAGCTGAGTCTGCAAGAATGTATTCATAATACCCAAGAAACAAAGACAAAGAGAACTAAAACCCAAAGCTGTTAAACACATACAATATCACTTTTGGGGGGTTTGGGGGGGACTGCTGATCTGGGCAAGAATGTACTTGGATTTAGTTGTCACAGTGGGATAATAGGTGAAGCCTCAGCACAAAATAATGATGTCTCACATGTCTGAGTCTCAAAAGCTTCTTGTAGAGAGGATGAGAATTTCAAAATGCAACATCTTAAGTAAAGAGCAGACTTAAAAGAATTCGGCTCTACTCCATAAGGACTACAAAGGAGCATACATATAAACCTCTAAAATACTTGAGTACTATCTGATTCAACCAAGAAACTTCTCGTGCCCTCAACAAATAAGGGTTGTCTCAACATGAATGCTGGCTTTTTCATTTTTGTTAATAAGACAAAAGTGCAACAGTGAATGAAGATTTCTGTCAACACTTATAATTGTGAGCAATCTCTTTGTTGAATTAGGTAACAGTTTTTGAGGGCTAGAACAAAATTTATTTCTCAAATGGATCAATTTTTGGTCACTCACAATATGACAGCTACAGATCTACTTAAATTTAATCTGAATTAACTAATATGTTCAATATCACTTTCTAAGTTTACACCAAGAGTCTGCAAATGTGGACTGTTTTACATAGTTCCTGAGTTATAATAGATTTTATATCTTTATAGGGTTACTTTTAAAAGAGTATGCAACAGAAATCTTACGTGACCTACAAAATCTGAAGTATTACTATCTGTACTTCTACAGAAAAACTTTGCAAAAATCTCTGGTCCAGACAGTCGACAATAATAAATCAAACCTTGATATAAGCACTTTCTAATTTCTGTGAATTAAATAACTTGCTCCATGACTAACTTCAAGTTATCAATATGTTTATCACTTAACACAAAGCTGGAAAGAAATGTGTACACCATTACATAATATTTTGCTTATGTACATTAGAAAAATAACTCCAAAATCCTAAGTAGTAGTAAAGTGTAAGCTCCCATTGTAGCAAACATTGTAGTTAACAAAGCACATAAGGAAATAATATATCATGGCAAGAGTAAGCAAATAAAGCAAACAGCAGAATAAAACTCAAAAACTTCAATAAATAGATCATGAGACTATAAAATAACTGCACACAAATTGATTTTAAAAGTCAAACATGATAAATTAGATACCACCCAAATAAGGCCAGAAATAAACTTGCAGATACGTAGTTTTCCTAGATATTTAAAAGTACAGTGACATTAACTCAGGTCATAATCATATATACTTAATATCGCAACTGGTAATAATCTGGAATTAGCACCATTTCAATCTGCCATTCATCTTGAAATCTTGTGTCCATCTCTTAGAAGTCTGGGATTTTTCTTGGTGAACAGGCTTTCAACTGTTACTCTGAATGTCAGTACTACTGCACTACCTCTCTGAAACCTATCTTTCTGCTATTTCTCTTATTCTAAACTGAATAAGAAAAACCAGATAGTAAAGATCTGCTTCTTTTTTAGTTTCATGCAACTAAAACTTAGCTCTGTACATGACCTATAATCAGGCAACGTTTTAAAAAGTAACAGATAGTTAAATTACCTAATCTGCTTCCATTTCTAGGCATTGCCATGAAGGAGCCAAGGCTTCCTCCAATAACGCTATGTGGTCTCCGTAATGGGGGCTTCTTGAAGGATCCTGTGTACTGGTGAAGGAAGGAATGCATACTGTGAGAGGTTGGTGGCCTGCCATTCTTCACAATAGGCTCTGTGGTATCCAAAAATCATTCCATTTAACAGCCCGAGGTCCAGGATCACATGAAAAGGGTTCAAAAAGTGAAACAGGAAACAAAAGATTATATTAGAGATCATTACATCTGACCTCATTTCTTTGATTAGCTCTGCAAAGTATTAGATTAAAATAATTTCTATGAAAAAATACTTACAGAAAACATTTTTAATATTTGAAGTTGGCCTAGTAACTTATCACTTCTTACAAAACCAAAATTGGTTAGCATCACAAAATACCTCAGATTTTGATTTTTTGCAAATGGATTTTTGATCCATTTGCTTATTTTAAAATATCTCAATTGTTTCCCTACTACACTTATATTTATTTACTGTTTCATATATGTCTTATGAGTAGGCATGCTGTAGGATATAAAAGACATGGTTCTGGTTGGAAGGAACTTACATTCCTATTTGATAGACATTCAAAACATATGTCAGTGAATAAATAAAATACAGCTTCAGTATAGATCAATGAAGAGGTTTTGGAATTTATTGCCCCAAAATTTTCATAGTTTTAAAAATAATCGTAGACCTCTATCCAACCAGAAACATTAATTATAAATGAAGAAAAACCTGTTTTTCTTATGATCTTATGATCACTTTCACCTCTAAAGAACAGGTTAAGGACATGATAAAATCTTCTGACACATAATTAGTCCTCTATATTAGAACTATATTTTATATTGGTAGTTGTCAAGGAATATTAAAAGGAATTTGGTTTCTTTAAATTTGGTTTATTTAAAGAAGAGCCGACCCTTCTTTTGTAACAGGATAGTCATAAGTATATCTTGTAATGAGGGAACTTTCTTATCTATAAAGATTTACCAGATACCAAAAAAGGCTGGCAAGTACAGGTAGCTCAGATTTACAGAAGTCCAATGTATGGGCTTAGGAAAAATTAGCCAAAGTGGCCAATTAGTCTGCACCAATAGTGGTGCTTGGAAGACTCAACGAGAGGGAAAAGTGAAGATGGGGCAAACAGTCTTTGAGGATCCCATACGGCCCAAGTCATCTAACCATCAGACTGGCAGGAGGGGAAGAGCCTAACTAGTAATGAAAAATGCCTGTCCAAAGTGCATTGGACTGGTATGGTCTTAGGCAACAGACAATCAAGGACTTGGGTATCTTAAAGTCTAATAAAATATATGATTTAATAATGAATGGCGAGAGGATATCTGATTAAAAAATGTGTAAATTAAATAAAAAGAAACTGGAATACATGTCAGAACAAGAAAAATTTCAAATTATAATATTTCATTTTTTGTAATCTTAATAAAACACAAATATTCTGCCTATAGACTTTTATTTTAGATGCTCTGTAAAGTTGTTTGGTGAAATACAACTTGCAAAAAAACGGAGCTTATTATGCAGTGGGGATAGTTACAGTGTGCCTTATGATTTGACAAACACTATTTCAGGCCCTGGGCATCAAGAGGTGAACAAAATTAATAACGTGCCATTCTTTCAGACTATAAAATCTAGGGGGAAAAATGAGAAACTGAAAAAAATATCAGATAATAGGCAATATACAAAAATTTAAATTGAGAGATATGATACAAATGCAGGATGAGCTATTTTACATTGGATACTGAGGAAAAATTTTCTCTCCAGAGATATTTCTAACAGATATAAACACAAGAAGGAGTCAGTCAAGGGGAGAAGGTTGAATGGTATGTTAGATGATATTCTGGGTAGAGGGAAGAACTACGCATGGTAGAGGGAAGAAGTGAACACATGGTAGTTTGATTTGTTAGAGAAGTAGTCCTCAAACTTCAGTATGCTTCAGAATCCTTGCAAGGACTTGTTAAAATACAAATGAGTGGGCTCCTCATCCAGATTTCCTGAGAGGGAATCTCCTTAGAGCATGAGATGGTGGTTACCAAGGGTTATGGTTATGTACATTTTATTGTAATGTTTTCTGTAACTAGCAGAAATCTCTACGAAAAACTGCAGTAATTTTTCTTATTCTATAGATTTGTTGCAAGTTTTCCAAAGTCTTTAACACTGCAACATGGCAATTTTTATTACACTGAGAAATTTATTGCCAAATAGAACTTATTTATCTATTTGATTTTCTGACTACGTAAACTATTATGATCAGAAATATGAAATTTCTTGACCTACTTCATAGCCTTACTCATATTCCTGTTCCTAACCCTGTTTATAAAGTCTTAGCTTGATCCTATTCCCATTTCCTATTTACACCCACTGGAGTCTGCTTTCAATTTCTTCTCCTCATAGACCTTGTGCTATTTGTAGGAATTAGCACTATTTCCAACTCCCTGTATCACCCACTATTCTCAAAAACTAATCTTCACTGCTAACCTTGTATTTAGTCAACAGGTGAAAGGAAGAAAACTGCAAGTTAAGACAAAAGCTAACAATATCCATAAAGACTAGGCTCAATGACTCTAAAAAATATGTCCCTGTGCAGATTATAGAGGAATTAGAAAGCCAGACTATTTCAATCTTTGCCTTTGTGATTATCATGAGAATTATTATTCTGTTAAATTTGTCTTATCACACCCCATGGGAACATGAAGATATGGTCAATTTTTTTTAGTTGAGAAATTTCAGTTATGTTAAAAGAACTTTGATAAATTTATCTGTAAGCCCCGAGTAGTGTAACAAAACAGTATTGATTTTCTATGTATAATTATGCTCTACCTTTCCCCCCATATTTAAATTGTCACCTATCCTCATAGAAGTCAATTATTTTGGAAAATTCTTATTGCAAAAAATAAGACCCTGAAACATGGTAACTGTGATATTTCTAAAGTAGCATGAAGATTTTATCAAACTGAGAATCTATAAAAAACTTCTCAGATTAATTATTTCTACTGAGATAATATGACATAATTAATCATTTTAAAGTATACAACTCAGTGGCATTTTGTCCTCCTATAATGATGGATAGCCAACACTTTTACCTAGCTCCAAAAACTGTCCTCATTTCCAAAGAAGACCCTACACCCCTTAAGCAGCTGTTTCCCCATCATCCTCTTTTCTGAATTTACCTATAATGGATATAACACAGAAATATAATTAATTATAGACTATGAGACCTTTCAGTCAAGGTTTTTTCAGTGTTTGAGGTTCATTCACATTGTTGTCTACAGTACCTTTTTATGCCTGAGTAATACTCAACTCTTGGAATATGCCACATTTGACTAATGCACTCACCTGTTAATGAACTTTGGGTTGCTTACACCTTGAGCCATTGTAAATAGTGCTATGATTATAAACATTTGTGTATGAGACTCTGTTTGCATACCTGTTTCTATTCTTTGAGGGAAATTCCTAGGAACTGAATTTGTGGGTCGCATGGTGAGTTTAATCTTAGAGTAATATTAAACTAAATTTTTTACCCTCCTTACGCTAACATTGTCACTATATGGCTGTGAGACAAAGACCACCTGATTTAAAAACTAGTAATATTGTATGTGAGAAGATAATTTTAAAAGTGTGCAATCTATCACTTCTCATTCATTAAAGGATATTCAGGTGTAGACTTTATCACCTAGTTTAAGAATTTTATGCTCCATGATAAACTCATTAGAGAAAAAAGTATGTTGGAACTGGCTACCAGGCATAATGGAAGCTCCAAAAGGGTATTAAACCTTGGTCAAAGCTGCTGGTAAAAATCTTTGCACTATTACATATAAGGGGTAAAGAAATCAGTCTATGTTACCAGTGGTCTCTACAACGCAAGACGAATCAATGTCTATTACGATACATTCAAGTATTATTTCAAGTAACTCATGTTAAGAAGAAACTACTCAACAGACCTCCTGTTTTCTCTTCCTCAATGCCCATTAGTGTTACTATTAGAAGACAATTTTAATAAAGCAAATATGTAGAACTTAAAAAATATTTAACATTTAACCACTTGTTATAAATGAAGCATTTTTTTTTAAAATATTTTATTTGTACATACAGAACTGGGGTACAGGCCAGAGGCTCAGGGGCGGTGAGAGGCTTCACCAGAGACAGAGTGGGGAGCAGAACAGGCAGATCTATGAAGTACACTGCTGAGGGGAGCAGCGGGCAGGTCAGGAGAGGTCTGCCACGCCATGTGGTCACCTCCGGGGCAGGCGGGAATTGAACTCATGCGGAAGTGGCTTTAGACTCTCAGTGCAGTGCTTTAACCCGCTGCGCCACCAGGGAGGGCCTAAATGAAGCATTTTTAAGAACATTTAACACTAAAATATAGCAGAAAATGGAATTAATCTAAAATATTAATGAGTTCTCCAAAAGGTATGTATAATTTCTTTGACTCACACTTTGTTTTTCAAAAGAAGTTTGTCTTATACCCAAATATCCATTTAGAATGTGCCCAGGCCCTTTCTGGTGGCTCAAGGGGTTAAAGTGCAGCACTATGAAGCTACCTGCAGCCACCTCAGCTTCCAGTTTGATTTGTGGACAGACCTACATGGCACAGCAGACCTCTTGTCTTGCATGCTGCTCACCTCCTCAGCAGTGTATTTCAGTCAATCTGCCTGTTCTGTTCCCCACTTTGTCTCTGGTGAATCATCTCACCACCCCCGCACCTCTGGCCTGTACCAAGTGCTTGTATGCGTAATTAAATCTTTAAAAAATAAAAATAAAAAAAGAATGTGCCCCAGAAACCATCCACCAAGATGTATACTGTGTTTATTTCACTCCTGATCATCACCAGTAAATATGCCTGCAAGACTGATCACAAGAACCAATACACTGGATTTAAAGAATACCAAGAATTTAAAAGGGGTCAGTGAGGGCTCTCCTTGGTAGTAAAATGGGTTAAATTAGCACTGCATTATGAAGATTTCCAAAGCCACTGCAGCATGAGTTCGATCCCTGGCCAGGGAGCTGACCCACATGGCGTGGCAGACCTCTTCTGACCCACCCGCTGCTCCCCTCAGCAGTGTACTTTGTCAATCTGCCTGTTCTGCTCCCCACTCTGTCTCTGGTGAATCTTCTCACCCACCATTCCTCTGGCCTGTACCCCAGTTCTGTAAGCATAAATAAATCTTAAAAAAATGTTTTTTTAAAGGATTCTGCTCCTAGCTTAAGAAATAAAAGGCATTCTAAAACCATCATTAAGATCTGATGCAAATGCACAAATGTTTCCTTCCTAAGTGAATATATCTAAATTGCTTTAAATCTTTTACTCAATTTATCTGTCTTCTCTCTCCTACCACAACAAATCCGTTAACCTTGAGTAAAGATGGCTCTTCTGAGGAAAAGAGTTTTGAAAAGAAACTAAAGCAACAGTAAAATAAATTTACACAGAGCCACACAACTAATTTACAAATTTTAGTGTATCCCAAATTCCACTGTGTGACTTTTAATTTGCCATTATTCCTTTCCTTTTTACAACAAAGGCATTTACATTCAGTTGTAAAGGGTGTAATATTCATGCTTTCACCCCCTGACACAAACATCTAGTAGCAGAGATTTAGGCAGCCCCAAGAAAGGCTTCTCAGAAAATCTGCATATGATTATATACCTGCAGCCATCCAGTTAGCTCCTTCTGTTATTATTATGGCATCCCTAGGGCTATTTCAGTTTTGAATATGTAGTTTTGCTCTATAAATTTCATCTGGAGTTTTCACTCATCTAATTTAACAATATTTTCTTTTCTATTAAGGTCTGTGAATTACTACTTTACATAGGGAAAAGAACTGTCCAAAGTGTTACTCATTATACCCCTAACTACTATCTTCCAATACCATTGCAGTGAATATAAAATAAGAAAAAGTATGATTCCCTTATGTAACAAATTTTGTCATATACATGGTAGCCAATCTGTACACATGCTATAAAATTATGAAGGATAAAACAAGAATTTCACAAACTTACTATAACTTAGGTTATAAGAATAAAAATATATTTAAATATTAATTTTAAAATGGTTCCTTAACAATTAGTATAATAGTATAAAAAAGGTGGTATATTATTTAAGAACCAATAAAAACATAAAGATAAATAGGACAGGAGAATTTCTTAGGATTAGAGACCAAGGTCAGTGTACCTAACACTGTAGAGTAAGATTTACAGTACAGTAAGAAAGCAAGCAAAAGTTATATTGTCTTCTGTTTCCTAGAAGCTAGGAAATGAGATGGAGAAATAAGCAAAAGGATGCTACTAAGAACTAACCAGGAAAGTAAACTATTATTCAATTTATGAAGTAATGAAGAAGAAGAAGCATTTCTCCACCCTTACCCATCCCCCAAATATTTACCGTTATCCTTACTGCTGTTTTCTTCAATAGTCATTTGTTCAGCCAACTCAGACAATGATTCATCAATAGTCTGGCTTCCTCGAAGTGTGAGGGACAACCTTCTCTTAAATTTTTTCATCCTATCTATTGAATGTGCCTTGAAAAAGCCTAGGGGGGGAAAAAAAGAACACAATGAATACAAAGGTAAAGCTGTGAATTACAGATCTAGGTTACTGGGAATCTTTAAAGTAAGAATCTAGTGAGGAATTTTCAACTTCCTCCAAACACCATAAAATCTAACCCACCCTTTAAAAAATCATTTAGATTAATGTGTATTTGTAAAGTATCATCAGAAAAGCAGAAATCCTACTTATACAGCTTTATACAGCTGAATTAAGAAGTTTTCAAAAGTATATATTTAAAAATCCAAACATAGTGCAAACATAAATACTATTTTGATATGTAGGTTTCATCATTAAAAACATCAGTCATCACATTGAAACCAGCCAATCATACTTTTAGATTCGGTCCGGGGAGTGGCACTGAAGAGGTGAAGGGGAAAGAGAACAACAGAATGGTATGTGAAACTTTATCAAATGTCTCCAGTGGAATTTTTTAAAGATTACTTATTTTTGCATATTGAGAACTGGGGCACAGGCTAGAGGTATGGGGAAGTGAGAGGATTCAGAGGCAGCATGGGGAGCAGTGGGTGAGACAGGAGAGGTCTGCTGTGCCACGTGGGTCACCTTGAGGGCTGGGGATTGAACTGGTGCTTCATTAGCCGGCTGCAGATAGCTTCACAGTGCTGAGACTTAACTCCCAGGCACCACCAGGGAGGGCCCAGTGGACATTTTCTTAAAAGCTCCTATTCCTTAAGCTTAGGTTGGTCCTTACACCAAAAAGACAAATCCATGTTGAAGAATGTTTTCTCATCTTCCATAATTTACTAATCCTCTTTTCAGCTGTGTCCAGTTTACAGTTGTTGTAGATTAATTAACAATAAGTATTATCATCTACAGATCTAATAGTTGTTACAATTGTTATTAATTTATTACATTTTTCAGTTCCATAATTTCTGTTTGATTCTTTTCTACAGATTCCAGTTCTTTACAGAAATTCTCCACCTTGCCTGCTATCTACTTTCACGAACAGGCTATTTATAGAGTTTTAAAACTCTAGAATTTGAACTTGTCTCAATAACTTATGGTAACCTGCATATCCTTTATCTGTTAATTTCTCTCTTTTGGTCCTGCTGGTCTAGTAATCTCTTATTGAATGCTCTATATTGTATGTGATCTTGTATGGACATATGTATAGGAAATGTAGAGGGCTCTACATCTAGGTTATGCTGCCCTCACCTAGAGAGAATTTAATTTCTGTCTAGCAAGCAGTCAGAGTAGGAGGATATCCTCTCAAAATCAGGGACTAAGCTGGCTTGAGAACTGTTTCAAATACTATAAAGATTAGCCTACCTGTGGATTGTTCCACTTAACGGTGAATTCCAACTACAACCCTCGATCACTACAACAAAAACTAGTGAAAGTTCTACTCAGCTTCCTTCGGTAGCATTTTGCTTATATTTTATCCTTTTATGCAAAAGACCTTAGAGATAGAAAATGCCTCTAGCTGGGCCCTCCTTGGTGGCACAACGGTTTGCAGTACAGCACTACGCCGAAGCTAGATGCTCAAGCTCGATCCCTAGCAGCCAGGAAGGTTACCTGCCCCACATGGTGCAGCAGACGTCTCCAGTCTCCCTGGCTGCTCCCCTCATCAGTACTTCATGAGTCTGCCTGTTCTGTTCCCCACTCGGTCTCTGGTGAATTCTCTCACTTTCTCCTGTACCTGTAACCTGTACCCCAGTTCTGCATGCACGCATAAAATAAATCTGAAAGAAAGAGAGAAGGGGGAGAAGGGGGAAAAGAGGGAGAAGGGGAAGGAAGGAAGGAAGATGCCTCTAGAGGGAAACTAGAACAAACTAGCACAGAAAGATTATGTTTATCTCCATTTTCTTCTGAAACTTGTTCTCCCCGCAAATCATACCGCTTGTAATTGACTGAGAAGCTCTACAATGCCTTCAAGTTTATGTTTTTGCAAATACAAATTTGTAAAAATAGTTTGGGAAAAAATCACAAATAGGTGACAGTGGCCTTCAAAAACCACGAAAAACCTGAAGGGTGGGAGAATCTGGTTTCCACTATTGTTACTTTGTAACATTCACAATATCCAGGTCACAACAAAAATTTAAAGCACACAGAAAAGAAGGCATTGCCTAATCTGAAATAACCATTTCACAGGTTCAGAAAACTACCTGAAGAAGTTCATAAGTTGGAATTGGTATGTTAACTCAACTACCCTAAATATGCCCAAAGGGCTAAAGAAAACCAACCATAAAGAAAGCATGAAATAAATGAGAATATCAACAAAGATGCAGTAATTATAAAAAGGAGCCAAATAGAAATGCTAGAGTTAAAAAGAACAGCACTGAAATGAAATATTCACCACAAGGTTTTAAAAGGTGATTTAAGTAGGAAGAACAAAAGGATCAGTAAACCTGAATAAAGTAAAATTATGTATTCTGACAGGGGAAAAGAGGAAAAAGGAACATATAGGATCCATTAAGGTATTGACACAACATCACAGGATCCTCAGAAGAGAAGGAGGGCAACAATACATAAGAAGAAATAATAGCAAGAAACCTGAAATATTATTTTAAAAAGTGAACATACACATCCAAGAACCTCAACAAGTCCCATGAAGTATAAAATCAGATTATTTCTAAGCTGATATACATATTCAGTATCAAAAGAAACAATACTGAAAGCAGCAAGAAAAAGAACTTGGCATATACAACAGAACATCAATAAGACTGATGGCTACGGTTTCTCAGTTACTGTGAAGGTCAGGAAAAACAGTATAGAAAATATATGTGTCAATCAAGAAGTCTACATCCAATAAAATGATCCTTCAAGAAGAAGAAATTAAGACATTTCCCAATAAACAAAAGTTGAGAAGTATCATTACTTGTAGGCCTGACCTAGAAGAAATGCTAAAGGGAGAGCTTCAGACTGAAATAAAAGGATTCTAGATAGCAATGTGAAGTCATCAGAATAAATAAAAGACACTCGTAAAGGTTAAGTACCTTACGTAGGTAAGAGATAGTATTTTTGTACTTTTGGGTGGTAAATATTTTCAGCCTTTTCTATATGACTTAAAGAGCATATGCACACACAGATTTCTTTTAAAAAAGGTAAGTCTATGCTGATGGCCATCCAATATAGAAAATATCACAGGTAATCTATGAGAACAAGATATAAAGAAGGCGAAAGATGCAGTTAAATATATATACCATTGCATTAAATTAGTGTTTTTTCAGACTACACTTAACAAAGTTTAAGATATTAATTTTAATTCTCAAGTAACTAAAAAATATTATAGAAAAGGAAAAAAAGGGAATCAGAATGTACACTAAAAAAAAGAAAAATCAACTAACGTGTACTTTCAAGTAGCTTGAATCAGTAATCAAAACATACCCCAACAACAACAACAAAAAAAGCTCAGGACCAGAAGTCTCGACTGATAATTCCACCAAATATGTAAGACTCCTTTTCAAATTAATTCCCAAAAATTGAAGAGGGATCACTTTGTTGATGCCAACAATACCCTGATATTTAATTCATACTAATAGTATGAGACAAAGAAAAAAAAAATAGGCAAATATCCTTTGACTATGGATATTGAATTCTTAACAAAGTACTAACAAATCAAATTCACCACCATACTAAAAGGATTAAACATGGGTGGGTCAACATTTAAAAAAAAAAGTAACACTATCTTAAACAGAAGGAAAAAAAAAACACATATGTACATCCCCAATGATGCAGAAAAAGAAGTTAACAATATCCAACATCCTTTCATGATTAAAAAAAAACACTCAGTGACCCTCCCTGGTAGTTCAGCGGGTTAAAGCACAGCACTAAGAAGCTAAAACCACTTCCGCATGAGTTCGATCCCCGCCTGCCCCAGAGGTGACCACATGGCGTGGCAGACATCTCCTGACCTGCCCGCTGCTCCCCTCAGCAGTGTACTTCCTCAATCTGCCTGTTCTACTCCCCACCGTCTCTGGTGAATCCTCTCACCCTCCGCATCTCTGGATTGTACCCCAGTTCTGTATGAATAAATAAATCTTTAAAAAAAGCACTCAGTAAAGTAGGGAAACAAGAGAACTTTCTCAACATGATTAAGGCCATATATGAAAAATCTACAGCTAACATAATATTCAATGACCAAAGGCTGAAAACTTCTCCACTAAGGTTAGGAAAAAGACAAGGATGTCCGTCCACCCACTTTTACAACTTCTATTCAATATATTTCTGAATGTTCCAGTCAAAGCAATTAGGCAAGAAAAAAAGATATAAAAGGTGCCATAATTTGAAAATGAGAGGTGAAACTATGTCTTCACAAATGAATGCTCTTATACACAAAAAGATTCTAAGTAAAAATGAGCTAGTAATCAGCAAAGTTACAAACTACAAAACAAAAAATCAACTGTATATTTATATATTTGCAATGAACACAGAGAATGAAAATTAACAGTAACAAAAAAAAATAAAATACTTGGAAATAACTTTAAGGAAGCACAGCTTTGCAGGTGAAAACTATAAAATGTTGGTGAAAGACATTAAAAAGTATCTAATAAATGCAAAGTAATACATGTATTGAAATATTAAAATGAACAAAATCACCCAAAGTGATTTATAGAGACAACTCAATCCTTATCATAATGCCATTTTTTAACAGAAATAGAAAAACACATCCTAAAATTTATACAGAATTACAAGGGGCCTTAGTAGCCCAAACAATCTTAAAACAGAATGACAAAGTTGGAGAGCTGTCACTTCTTGATTTCAAAACTTACTACAGAGCTATGGTAATTAAAACACTGTGGTACTTACATAAGGATAGACAGCAAATGGAACAGCTAATAACTCACTAACTCATTTTTGACAAGGGTGTCAAGAATATGGGAAGAAAAACATGGTTTGATTTTTCTTAACAAATGGTACTGCACAATCTAGATATATTCATATGAAAAGAATGAAGTTGGAACCCTTAACCTGTGCCATATTAATTCAAAACAGGCCAAAGGCCTAAAAAAGGCAAAAG